TGTATTTATTGATGTATTATTATTTTATTACCACCTGCTCTTTATGCACTTTCATTTTTATAATTTATTTGGCTACATAGCTTTGCCTTAGTTTTTATTCATTGGCATCCCTCAAAACAGGAAACCTCATCGAGTTTTTCTGAACTTAAGATTTAAAATTTCTGATATACATTGTCATTTTATTTCCCAGTTAATGTGTTATTAGAACAGCCGTTTTTTTATGATTTTGATTCAATAAAAGATACTTTTTTTACAATAATTATATTTTAAAGAGCTCCGTAGTAGCTATGAGTTGATAAAATCAATGGTGTTTTTTTTCGCGGAAGGTAGACATCTATCATCCGTTTTTAATGAAATTATTTGGTATCGGAAAATATAAATATCAAGATATCGTCAACCAGTGAATAATCATCTCTGGAAGACGATATCCTACAAGATATCATCTACCCGAGAAACATTTCACTTTCTCGAGAAGATAACATCTCACCCAAAAGATATAGTCAACCCGAGAAATATTTGTATTTCCTCGAGAAGACGACATCTCACCTTAACGATATCGCCAATCCGTGATGAAAAATTATCTCGGAAAGACGATATCTAACCTACAAGACATCATCCACCCGAGATATTTTTTTCTCGAGAAGATGACATCTGACCTACACGATATCTTCAACCCAAGAAATGTTTTCTTTCTTGGGGAGAGGATATTTCACCTACAAGATATCATCGACCAGAGATTTTTTTTCTCGAGAAGACAACATCTCACCCTACAAACAAGATATCACCTACCCGTGATGACATTATCTCGGGAAGACGATTTCTTATTTACAAGATATCATCAACCCGGGAAATATTTTTTTTCTCGGGAAGACGGCATCTCACCTACAAGATATCACCAACCCGAGAACACTTTCTCGGGAAGACGATATCATACATACAATTATAACATCGCCTATTTTATAAAATGACGGATGCTCATCAACCCATGTAACCTAAGAGCTTAGTAAAGTGTCTACTTATTTCAAAAACCAAAATCGATATTAAAAAGATATTTTCTGATATTGATAACATTGTATTTTTTCCATTACAATGCACTACCTCGATGCAGATTTTTTTTAATTGACTACCGTTAATTATTTTTTTAAGGATCAAGCTACGATTTGCCCGATGATTTTTACTGTGCCTCGAAAAGGCAATTTTTAAATTGTTTTGTTAGAATATTTTTATAAGTTAATTTTTACACCATGGCTGTGCCAGGTCAAGCTCCCTTACGCTGCTGCTGGTGTGCTCGGCTGCCTACGCGCGCCATGTGCCTATACCCCAACCCACCCGCCTTAATCCTACGCCTTAACCTAAACCGTAATTATTCATTTAATACAATCATAACTTTGCCTTATTTGCCTTCTTTCAAACGTCGAATTTCGCTGGTTTTGATCTCAACAGCAGGTCTTCTCCAATTCATTTGAGTTTCAAATAATTCCGTCGGCTATCTTTTATAACATCTCCATTTATACAATCATAATCAGAATAATTCAGGTCTCAGTATTTTTCTTCTGCTGTCCTCTTGAACTTATAGTAGTATTTATAATATACAAGTTACCCTAAAGCTAATGGTGTAAAGTTCATTATGTAGCGCAATTTATACAATTTTGAGATCCGTGGATACATTGTCCATAAAATTGATTATGGTCCATTGGAATGCCGCCCTATAATACTCTAAATAGTGTGCTTGCATTAAATAATTTCAGGTTTATGATAAAATTCGTTGGCTCCGTTGTTAACTCCTCGAATTCGTGGTGTTCAGGTTTTTCATTTCATCTTTAAATAATTAAATAAAAGCTCCAAACTATTTGTTCTGGTAAGTTTTAAACCAGTAGTTTTATACAATCATAACAAAAAGGCAATCCAAATTCCAAGGAACCCTCCAACGAAAATGTAAACATGTTTACTCCAACTTTTGAGTAAATCCCTATAAGCCCCTGCCTTGCTGGAATGTCTTTGAAAGTGTAGCAAAAACGGTGCACCTGGCCGCATACCGCGCGCGCGGCCTTTCAACTTTTCAACCAATAAGAATCACCGGAATCTATTACCACGCCCACACTCCGCCGGCCACGAGCGGCTCACGTGCAGACTCCACCACGCGATAGCTTTTGACACAATGCGTGAAATGCGCAATGCACCAAAAGGCATTTGCATATGATTTTGAAAAACAAATCGGCAGGTATTCACATGCTAATGACTCTAAATCAAAATGGCTTTCGCCTACAGGAATGGAATTTCAACGTACAATAGGTTATTCCGCAATGAAAAAGACTAACTCAATGTAGGCTAAAATGGACGCCATTTCGTTGGCAACAAACCCACATGATCATTTCGTGCTAATTAAAGAGAAGAATTGCAGAATTTTATCGCACAATATTCAACAATGCAAAATACAACCTCATGTACAGAATGCAATACATTATGCTTCTTGTAGATAACATCACATTTTTTTTAAACTCAAATGCGATTCAAGGATCAAAGTCAAAGAGAAGAATTATTGTTTTCTAGCTCCACCTTCATTGAAATGAGGTCTAAAATGCAGGCGGATATATCATATACCATATTGCTCAAAATGCAGAATATTGAGACGCTTTTTCCTATTTTGGTTCTGTGTGACCGGAGGAGAAGATAAATGTTCACTCACCGCGATAGTTCCTTATTTAAAGTTGGACTTACCCCGACGAACTCCAAAAGCTTGACTTCAGTATTTTCCAAAAACGTCATTCAGATCATTCGACAAAATTATGAGTTCACAAAAATTCCATGTGTCCATTCAGTTCAGTTCAGCACAAAATGAGCATTCAAAGGAATGCAGTTGCCAAGTCCAGTTCAGTTCTGTAAAACAAAAGTTATGACAAGTTCTGTAGGCCTACAGCGAAGTTCAAGTCAGTTTTTCAATATGGGTGACGACGACGCAACATGTCTGCGTCAACGCTTTGCAGTGACCCCGTACATGAGGCCGGTTTTCTGGTCGAATTTCAAGACTCCTATCGTCCAATTTTGATGTTATTTGCGCCCATGAAGACTCCAGGGTATGCTGTACAAGTTTCCGCGTTGGAGGCTTGAAGCTGGACGGCAGACTTGGAGGTTAAAGTCTCAAGTGTTGCTGGTGAAATTTGAGGCAATTTTTTTGTGACTGACCAAAAATAGCGGGAAGACATTGCGAGCTGCCTGCGCCAGTACAGTGTCCGTTGACCCGGCCCCGTTCTCGGTAATTTTCCATTGCGTAATGATATGGAGGTGAAAAGTGTCGTGTTTTATATCGCTGGCTGTTGCTCCGTACTGGTCTTTGCGCTGCCTTGGGCCGAAGTACTCAGTGTGTATTTCTCCGCATACCAAATGTCTCCACTTATACACATAAAATATTATGCCAAAAAAATCATCACGTATGGAAATTGCCAATTACAAAAAAAGATACAAATATGATGGGATACTTTTCATTTCCAGATGGAGTAGCATCAGTTTCGGGGGAAAAAATGCCCTATTTTTTATAAGACGGGCGGGCGTTCCAGGAAGTATCCGTGACGTAGCACGCGTGGCTCGCTTGGCCTGTCTCTCATTGGTCAGAAGTATGTTGGTGACGTTTTCTCGTCAATCTAGCCAATTTGATTGGACGAGGGAGTCTGGTTAAAAAAAAGATGAGCTGACGAAAAATGGTGTACCGTACAAGATAGCGTTTTAACCGATTTTCGGCTGGACTTGACAGACTGCTTGAAAAAAAGGGAATCCAGCAGAAAATCTATAGAGCATAAGGAAATTTGTACCAGATTGTTAGCAAAATTCTGTAAAATCGGTGATCCTATTAAAAAATATAGCAGATTTTGTTTTGAACATGCTTCAATCACTTTAAACAAATACTTGAATACTATACTAGCGGGGATATGCAGGCATGTTCCTAGCGTTGAGATTCCCTGACGTGTACGACTACAAAGTAAAGCAACTCAATGGGAGCTATAAAAAAATATTAACGTACTCATTTTTTTAAAGAAAAATTTACATTATTTAAAATAATTTTTTACATTTTATTTCTGTTTTTGCTTTCTCAAAGAGAAAATCGTATAACATCTATATGTGAGTATAATTGTTTTTAATGTTTAATGTAATTCTGGGTGATTTAGCAGATGTTTGTTAGATCTAGCAGTAATTGTCTTTGTACCATATTGATCAGGAATAATTATAAACTGTTGCATTGTGGGGCAGGGGGGGTTGGCCCCGCCCCCTGACGCCGAAAGGATTAACGTTGAAATAAGGGTCTGGACCAAAGATCATATAGCGGCGCTATAGGATCTTTGGTCTGGCCATTCAAGGGGTGATAATCAATAATAAGCTACCACATTGAAAAGGCTATCATATCAAGATATAAACTAGAGATGTACAGCAATGAAAACATTTTGCCAGCTCGGTGAAACAATAATTGGTGGATTTTGGGGTCCTGACCCATGGACTAATTTATACAACACTGCATACTGCCCTCCCTGGTCCGTCGGCACTCAAAATGGAAAATCCCATTTTTTTTGTACATCAAAAAGGCATCAACATATAAATTGTCAAGGTTTTTTGCCCCGTTTGTCTTCACAAAAGTCGGATTAAAACATAACAGTGGCATGGTACTGGTGACGAGCCATGTCCGTCGCTGTACACGAAACTTGGGTCACCTCTATTACAATAAAAGGTAAAACAGTCTTTGAGCACTGGAATACATTATTTACAGTACGACTCAAAATATTTGTAATTGAAGGAAATAATTAAGTTCGTATATTTTAAGAAACTGTAAATGGAGACCATTCGTAAATTGACTCCACGTGCATCATATGAAACCATGTGTCGGGGAAAGTTGTGTTAATGATCACCCCTATTGCGAATTGCACATGGACTATTCCATGCTAGTTTTGCGCGATTCTATTGGCTGGCTAATTGATTGACCTTTAACCGAGGGGACTTTAAAACATAAACACAAGGCCAGGCCGCGCTGTGTGTGTACGGGATTATTCAACGGCACGGTACGGTGGAAACTGTCCTCAGAATTTTGGCAAATGGCAACCCAGGGAAGCGGCATTCTAGTCTAGTCTGTGATCTGAAACTATACCTCTTTCGTTTCATTGGTTTTTTTTTGGCAGTTGTTTTGCCCTATGAGCAAGCACTGATTGTGAGAAATCGACGGTGACTGTTTGCTGAAATAAAACGAAGCTAAGGTAAGTCACTGAAATTTGAAGTGTCACGATCGCAGTCACGGCAGTGTGTATACGTGTATACTGAGTCACTGTCAGTGTGTATTTGCATGGAATCGCACATCAATCGTCGTGTAGTTAGAAGTCGTACTCGAGCTAAAATTTTGGGTAAACTACACTGTCATGGATGTCCACCCTAATTCCTAGCCGTAACCTGCTACCCCCAGCAGAGCCCCATTGTACTTTTGTAGGGGATTCCACTTCAGCGGTTTTGTACAACTGTACAAAGTCTATGGGGAGAGTCAAGAACAGTCAAGTATTCATGGATTTCCTAACACAATTGGAAATGTTTCTCAGTTCTTCCCAAAATTCTTCCCAAAATGGAAAACATGAAAAAAATCGTTGAAAAAAGAATCTCGTCTTTCCCATTTTCATTTGCAGATGGCCGCGGAGTGTTCAGACGTCCAGGGTTCCATCTACCATCTGACTGGCTACGATAGGATGCAGCTGCCCGCAATCCTTGATGCCGTGAAGAAACTGCCGTGTATGCAAGATCTCCCTTGTGGTATGCAAAAGATTCATTGAAATAATGACATTAAAGAATGACATTACAAGCTCCAGATGGCGCTTGAGGAGAAAGTCCAGATATGAGAAAAATACCAACCATTTTCCACATCTGTCCAAACTCTCTGCTATAAATGACAAACTAAATTGCCGTAAAGTTTCAAAGTTTCTTTGAATATAACTTTTTTTTCATCAGATGGAGATAAAGTATTTGTTTGCGGACGGCCAGGGCAGTGCAATGCTGCTATGACAGTTAAATCCCCAATCCAGGTTCTCGTGGAATTTTATCGTCGCCTGAAGCCGAGCGGCCCAGGCTGCAAGACGATTCTCTCGTCAGAGTCCCAGTTGGTGGTCGTTCAGCTCTGTCTGGCGGAATTCAGCAAACAGGTTTCAAATAAAAATCCATTTACACTTTTATAATATTACATTGTACTATACTGTTTGGTAGCGGAGTGTGGACTCGTGGTTGGATATTATGACTCATGATAAGAGGGTCAGGGGTTCAAATCCAGCTGCTGGCCACATGTTGTGTCCTTGGGCAAGCCACTTCACCCCCACTTGCTTCTCGCCATCTGGGAGTATCTGGTATTAGATGGGGAGTAACCTGTGATGGACAGGCATCCCATCCAGGGGGTAATAGAAATACATGTACTCTCAGTTGTTTTATGCTACTGAAATTGGAGATAAATGCCGATGGGTCACACGTCGTGACAGACTTTACTGCTAGTGCTACAGTGGAACGCCGCTATAACAAACATCGTGGGATCCACAGAAAGTGTTCGTAATAATGATTGTTCGGCATAGCGATTTTGAACAGCCAGTACCCTCTTTTGACCAAGAGTGAACTGGCATTACTCACATTCTGTGGCCGCACGAGGAGTCGTCACGAAACTCAGAAACGGGTGGTTTCCCTTTTATTCCTTGGGGAAATAATAGCCATCTATCGCTCTTCAACATTCAAACACGATGTAACCATGGGTCATTTGATGTTGAGGAATTAAAAGTGGCCCAAAACAGTGTTTAATACATGTACAACCGGTAGATTTTTGGTTAATCTATTGACTTCTTCAACAACGATGTTCAGTACGTTTTGTACATTAAAACCGGGAGCGAAGGATGATGTTCGGTAGGCCTATAGCCGAATGTTCGGTATAGCGGTGTTTGGTGTAGCGGTGTTCCACTGTACTTGTACTCTACTGTATGTACATGTACTCCTTGATGAACCTATCTAATAGCATTAAACAGTATTCAGTAATGCTGGATAGTCACAGTATTTTTCTAATACCGAACAATACTGAGTGACATTGCAGAAATCCTGAAAGACAGACGTACTCTGGCTGGAATTTCAGTACCCCGTTATTCTCCAATATTTGGTTTTGAATTCCACTATAGGCGTAAAACCATAGAGTGCAGGGGGCGATTTGGGACAGTGTATGAAGCAACAGGCAGGGCCAATTTCCAGAAGATTATTTACTTTGACATAAAATAACAGTTTATTTTAAATACATGTATTTTAAAATTCTTACTTTATCTGATTTTATAACATTCTAATTTCTTCTCAGAAATACGACATTTACGACACTGATGCCAGCGAGGTGTTTCGCATGACCAGAGAACTCAACGAACACAAACTCTCCCAACTTGATGCAGACTCCTCAACAGCAGAATGCCAAAACTCGCCGGATGAAATCTCCTTGACTCTGTCCCATTACCAGTCAGTGAGACAACTGTACCAAGCTTTCCTGTCAAGCTGCAATATGCTGGACGTAGCAGATGTCTGTCGGCAAGTCAAGAGTTTGCTGGAGAAGGATGACGATGTTGCCAAGTCGTTTAGGACCAAGACGAAGTTGATAGTTCTGCAATGGCCAACTGAACCTCTGGAGGTAAAGATCCTAAAACTAGTCAGTAGTAGGGGTGGGAGACACATCAAACTCAAACTTAATCTCCATCTCCTCCATCTCCATTGTTTAAGTCAGCAAAATATCCTGCCGGATACATCAACGCTAACTTGCGCACTGCGTGTGGAAATAGACTACTGGTGGATATTACTGATATGTCCCTTGAATTCAGTTCTTAAAGGCATATAGCATTATTTGCATTTACCCCAAAAATAACCTAGCAAATTATTATCAAAAAGCTTGCTTGGATTAAAGATCATATTGTTACTAAACACCCCGGAAATTATTTAGTCTGACTTGCTGTCGTTTAGAAGAAATCAAGAAATGTAGGTTATTTCCCATGACTGATCGTTTATAGAGAAATAATAAAAAAATCCTTTTTCATGATGTTGTGCGTGGGCTTTCCTTGTTTTCTTAAAAAGTGTAATGTCCACCGAGCTGAAACTTCAACCGGTTAGGTTTTGAACAACCTTCTTTGGATATTGAGGTGTGTTAGTATTGGAAACAAACAAAAAGCATGAAATCCTATATGCCTTTAAATACTGAATACTTTCAACTGATCGTTATTTTTTCCCACATTGGAATCATTGTTGATCCTTGATTACGCAGAGGAAAATCTTGGAACTGCTGATTGGCCAAACGTCTGTGACTGAAATCCAAGTGGAAATGCTGGAGTCTGCGTCGACAGAGGACAGCAGCAATGGCGAATTCAGACTTCATGTTAGCAAGAGAAATTGGGAGACCGTGCAAGACTTCAGCAGAGACCAGTCGTTTCCCGTGTCAACACCAAAAACTCCACGATCCCCTGTTTCATCCACCGAAGTAAGTCGGGTTGTTTTTAGGCTCACACCTCGGTCCAGCTTCCCTGTCTTTCTCATTTGTAACTTCTTTTGAACGCCTTTTTTAGAAAATTAAAACTTGCTTCGCAGCGATCACTACCTTTAAGGTGTGGGAAATATTTTGAGTCAACCTCAAAAATGCCCGAAAATGCAGTGGAAAGATCCAGGAATCATAAATTATTAGTAAAAACTATGACACTCACATATTGGTTCAAAAACTGCTGTATATCCAAATGGGGTTTTGCAACTTATTGGTGATTTATTCGTATTGGGTCACATGTTTCCTCGTAGATTCTGGTGCATCATGTCTTCCTTTCGTTCCTGGGTCTTCTGGTCAACTCTCGAGATGAGATCAGCTTAGCTAGATGCCTCAGCTACTCACCCTCAGGCCTCGACCATAAAGGGTTCACTGCCTTGAAGAATGCTGCCAAGTCGAAAAATATGTCCATGTATCAAGTAAGTGAAAAAAAACCTGCCCTCTTACCCTTTTCCCCACCCCTACAAACCCCCATGCCCCACCATCCCCTACCCCATCATGCTAACCCCCCATCCCAACCCCCACCCTTCCCGCACCTCAGCACCAAATAAAATGTCTAACGGCAGTTTCAACAAAATCGAAAGTTACTTTATTGCCTAAAAATATCACTCGAATAATATTACATTTGAATTTTCAGACGGCCGTGTCCTACATCACCCGGTTGAGGCTCGGTGGGAGAAGCTACGCCCCAAATTCTGAGATGTCGGCCCTGGCGGATCACGTCAAGAGCCTTGGTGAATTTGTGACAAATGTCCAGAAACTGCAGGTGCTGGTCGAGGAGGTTCCGGACACGAGGTTTGTCATTTTTCTTGAATATCCTTGAATGGAAACAGTTTCTCACCGGCAGACTCATACGACCCATGTATGACCACGGAGCACAGCCAGAGATCAAAAGTGTTTGATTTTTTGCGGAGGGAGGAAAACCCTTGTGGCTCAGGAGAAAACCAATGCACAACTCTACTCACATATGGTCCAAGCAGGGATTCGAACCCGGACCAAAGTGGTCAGAGGCAAGCACTTTACGCACTAGCCACTCATGCCATCAGCAAAGTCCTCCAAAGCACAGGGCCAAAATCTCCTGAAACCAGAAAACTCCCTTAAAATTCTTTCATTATCAGCAGTTGCCTCAACAGTGGCATACATATGTTTCTTCCTTCTGGATACAGAGAATCGATTGCAAAGGTGCTGCTTTCCATCAAGAACACCCTGTGCAAGTGTCGGGGTGCTGTCTTCAAGCAGGAAGCTGTGGACAAAGTCTGCCAGAAGCTGAGAGGTAAATGTGACGTCCTGCTGACGGCTTTCGACGGAAAGAACGGAGCGAGCCCTCCCAAGGTAAAAAGTGTATACAGCAGGTTTTGGAATAAAAAATTGTCTCTCTTTTATTTGTTTGTTTGTTTGGTTGTGTTAAATTTTTGGAAACAAACTATATAACTGACAACAAAGGTGAAACAGACATTTTATCATGTTATTCTAATTTTTGAAACAGAATTTCGAACGTCGCAAACAGAAAATTGACAATCTTGAAAACTGATAAACATTGGTTCTGTGCCAGGGACCATATAATTATGAAAACTTGTCCCACATAAACAAAATGCAGAAAGTTGAAGTTAAGAGTCTGTCTAATTGTTCTTTCCCATAGGCCGTTAACCAAGGAGGGAGTGTCTTAGGCCGACGGACCCTCAAAGTGATCCTCGCATTTCTTGATCGGGAAGCAACAATCCCCGCTCACCATCATGCTGTCAACCTGCTCAGTGATTGCACCCTGACGCAGACTACACCAGTCCGAATGCCGTCATTACTGGCTCAATTCAGGTATGGCGACATTTTGCTGTCAGTATAAGCTATATATTTCGTTTTAGTAAATGGGGTGGGGAGGGGGGCTTTAAAAACACCATTTGGGGAGGGATTCAAACGGACGGGGTTCCCATATAGCTTCACATGATGCTATAGACCAATCTGGGCAAATTCTATCACGTAGCCCCCTTCAATGGTAAATGCATCGTGCTGGCTATTCTTCAGAAAATCCGACACAGGGCAGTTGCTTTGTTCAATAATAGTGAATGTTTTCTCCATTGAGGGGGGCCTCATGTTTGTACATGTACAGTGATGACATGCCTGGATTCATCTTAAGTTCAGAAATAACATTTTAAAAAAAATTCTTTTTCGATTTACGTTAATTTCTTGCTAAATTCCTCAGTAAACATACTAAATGTTTATCTGTGACGCAGTTTACGTGTAAATTGCTGCAATTTATGACAACTCTCAGATCCAGTTTTATTTTGTTTTGTCTACAGATCCCCTGAAGTAGACAACCCCAAATCGCCTGAAAACCAGGCGCTAAGAGACAGACTTATTGAACCAAAGGAGGTAAGACAAAAATGAAGTATCTACTGGCTTTCAACTTTCCAAACGAATTAACGAATTGCTATAATTTCCCAAATGAAAAGAATTGCTACAACTTTACAAATGAAAGAATTGCTACGATAGTAAAATAATTTTGAGGTTAGCAAGTATGATGGCTAACAAAGTAAGATTTGTTTGTATCGCACAGGAGGTGAAAGGACCCAAGATGTTTGGTTACAAGTCAGATATGGCGTGGGCGGAGCCAGAGCACAGGAACCCCCTCCAGGAACGAAATCAGAACATTGAACAAAACGTTCCGAGCAAGACTACCAGCCAGCGGATCAAACTGTGGGCCGAGACGCCGCCGGAGAAACACCACCAGGCGAGAGTCTTCACTCACGAGTTTGAGTCTCCACTAGCGAGCCCGCCCAGTCGACCAACAACCGGGCGGGGCACTGTTGACCACACCCCCAAGCGACCCAAAGGGCGTGTCGCCAACAGGACAGAAGCTGCATTGGACAAGGAAAATCTACCAGTCACGCACGGGCAAGGGGGTAAGGCAAAAGGGGCGGGGATTTCAAAAAAAGGGGCAGAGGTCAAGAGACGGGTCAAGCGAGTTCTGATGGAGGACTCGGGGAGCGGTCAGCCGAGTAAAAAAGCCAAGAAGGGCGTGGCTGGGGCTCAAAAGAAAAAACAGATGACGCTTGTTAAAGGGCAAAAGACACTTAATCAATTCTTCAGATTGTGATCAAACCATCCTTAACTAAAAATAAAATTGATGTTAACAATGGTTGGGGGCCTTATATAACTCTGCATATTCAAAACTAAATCTGTGACTGTCGCCAAGAAGATTTCAATTCAAAAATGTTGGTTTTCACAATTTTTGCACATTTGGCAGAGCTATTGAGCGACAGCTTCACAACTGTAAAACAGAATTCATCTTGCTTGCAAAAATTCTACGGCTCCTCACAAAAACAGTTTACCTGAAAACTATAGTGTCACATTATATATTGTTTCTATATGAATGTCGAAGTTCTGACTGAAAGTCTCGACACTAGCTGATTTTTAACAATTTTAAGGATATGGATTTAATTTATTTTCATCAAAAGATGAAATAGGGTAATCAGTACTTTTTAAGTAATTTTACTACCTCAATTTTCATGTCATAAAATGTCCAGTGTTTTTTTTTTAACCTAAAATTTGTAAATTTTTCTTTGTTTGTATGCGTATTTGTAAAATTGTGACATTTGTCCATTTTGTAAGTTGTAACTTATTAAATAATCTGCTTACAGCATTTTTGTAATTTTTCACATTTTATTGTACAAAAACATGGTCAACTATTAAAACCAGTAAATTGTTCAGAGAAAACATTTCCACTTGTACTTGGCAATTGTAACGGCTAGCGTGTCCAAAAAATCGAGTGAGAAAGTGTATATGATTTCGAGCAATTTCATTTTACTGTGAAATACCTTACTGGACTGTGTTAGTGAATGACAGTCTAAAGCATCTGCAAAATCATGGCACCTGGTGTGCTGTCATTTTCAAGAAAAGTGGTATTGTTGTATCAATTTCCAACGCTGGTCGGCCGGCCAGGATTGGAAAAAAAATGGATGTTTTCAATTATTGCCCCCAGTTTACCATATCTAGTTAGTCCACATAATTATTGTTTGCAATCGATTACACACTCATGAACAGGTTCAAGCCAGCTAGACTGGTTCCCTGACCTTTAAATGTCTATAAACTGCCGTTTCAAATTAATTGGGGCCAGGAACCAGACTACCGGAACATGATCATTTTTTTCTTGGATTTTCCAGTATCTACGAACTCAAAACTTCAACCAAGTCCGTGTTACAATATTTGCTATAAAATACTAACCCCCCATGTCCATCCATTTCTGAAAATTACAGCAAAAGCAAATGTTGTATATTCCCTTTCATAGAAGGTGTCTTTTTGGGGGGGGGGGGCAACAAAGATTTGGTTCCCGGTTCCCGCTAATTCAGAAAGGTACATTTAATGAAATGCACTTTTTGAACATCAATGTTGAACCGCCTTTGCTCGCCAGCATTGCTAAGGTAAATAACGCCCTCTTCAGTTCAGGTGAAGACCGTATAAGAGCAGCAGGCTCAGTGCAGTCCGATAAGAGTTCTGTATGGGCAGATGGTTCAGTGTTCATGCTTTGCAAAGATCGTCATACGTCATGGTGACGCTGTCCACAAACTGCCATCTAGACTCCTCAAGGGCCTTGTAGAATTCCTCGCTTCTCTCCAGGATCATTCGGTTGGACTTCTCCACGTCCACGGTGACCTCCGGATCTGTCAAAGAGGAGAGAAAAAGAATTACACAATATAAGGGATGGAGATTTGGTTCCAAAACGGTTAATTCGTCATTTGTTACCAGAGCTACAAGTTTGATATTTTTGAGGACTGTTTATATTGAAAAGATTACACCAAGATTGAAATTTTATTTTACAACATTTTCATTTAGCAGTTTGTTGGTGGGAGGGGCTAGACAAAACTGAGGGAGGATCTCGCAAAATAGCGCATGATTATGGGGCATACACTAACCGCATACATTAAATCTTTCATGATTTATGTCTTTCTGTACATCTCTACATATTTCTGTGAAACGACAATCCCACCAAAATTACTAGTACATTGAAGCTGAAGTTGTCGTCATATATCACCAAAAATTTCAAGAATTAAGAAAAGCCTTTATCCTGAAAAGATTTTATACCTTCCAGAGGATCATCATCTTCTTCCTCAGTGACTGCAGTAGTAACAGCTGTCGCATCGCCGGCTTCATTCACATCCTGACAACGAAACAAAAACAGAAGTAACAAACTTAAAGCTAGTCCTCCAAAATCCTCCAGGCGATTTTTTTGAGGATTGAGGCTAAATGGTAAAAAGTGTCGGTTGACTTTGGCGGATTCACTGTGTCGAGTTTGCAGACTGTAGCCTGCATTGTTTATGTCTTGTGACTTGTTTCCAGAGGTGTCCCTATTAACAGAAGATGTGGAAGGAAATTACAGTTTAAGTGGTGGGAGGAAAACCCGAGAATGCCATTCTAGGGGAAACCCACGGAATCAGGCAGGGACTGAAAACCCAATCCCCATGTTGGCCCAGGTAGGATTCGAACCCGGGTCACAGTGGGGGAAGTGAGGAAACAAACTCATCCCGAGTTCTTACCTTAGCTTTTGTTTCCGTGTTTGTGGTCTTGTAGTGATCGTAGTAGCCTCCATACCCAGAGCCATACTGGGCGGCCATTTGCGCATACTGCTGGGAATACTGTTGCTGCTGACTGCTATAGTACTGGGGGTACGTAACGGATGCATTGGCTGCGTTGGCAGATGCAATATAACTGCAAAAGCAAAATGGAAACAAACTCTTGTGGGTGATAACTCTAGGGGCCTATTTTCTAAACACTCAAAAAGTTGACGAGCACAAGTTAGATTTTATTGGACACGATAGACTTCACACTTCAAAAAACTCTGTCCAGCAGATGTCTGTGGACCATTCGAGGGCGGTATACCTCTTTGACGCGTCCTTGGGCAACGCCCTGCCCACGCGGAGCGGCTTCAGCCCCAGCCCGACGGCTCCGTTGAACAGTCTAATAGCTTCCAGCATATCTGCCTCGACGTGGAATCTGACAAAGCCGTAGCCTCTGGACGAGCTGCCGTCCTTGACAACTGTTGGGAAAACAAGCCAAGAATGTTGACTGTTGGCACTAAATAAGGTGTTACTAGAATTTACTAGAATTCCCTATGCAGGGGGAATTGGTGCAGGGGTTTGGTCATAGTTTAGGAAAGAATGTTCTAACCTGACACCACTTTTTACTTCATATATCATCTCATTGAAGGTTAGTCATTGCAAAAATGATGATAGGACATGAATCTGGGACTGGGAAATATTTCCAATTTTGTTAGGAAATATTTAGAATTTGTTTTTGACTCTCCATAAACTTTGTACACAACTGCTGAATTGGTGTCACGTTGCAGCATTATTTCCAAATTCGGTGAAAATATTTTCTTAGGAAGGAACCCCTGCCTTTTGGCTTTGATGACAAGCAGATGAAGTTTGGTAAAAACAAAAGAAAGAAGCTCAACTCCTGACAATACCTGTTGCATGTTTGGCACTTTTGAAGCGCCCGGCAAAATAATCAAACAGCTGGATGTCGGTGACGTCGGGGGAAAGATTGGACACGTGCAAGGAGAACTCATAGTGATCTACCGTTCTGTTGGATATGAAAATAAGTCGGACCGTTCTAAACGTCAGTAATTTGCTTCACTTCCAATTTCACAAACTGGAACAATCATTCATTTGTTCTGCTTGTTTATGGTTTTAAATGATATGAAGACTTCCACTTACGGAGTTTGTCCATCAGGTTTGTAGCCGCCGGCAAATGCAAAGTTGAGTTTGAATTTTTTCTACAAAAAAATTGAGAAATCATTTTAATAAGAATGTCTTTATAATTTACCCCAATAGAGGCTTCACACAATATGATAAAGAAATAGCCTGCTATAACTGTCAAATAAAATGTCATTTCTTAAAATAAATCAGAAATGGAAAAATAGGCTTTCTAATATAAAACATTATAACTTGATGTAATAAAATTTGGGACTTTTATAAGATGGAATTTGCATCGGGGGAAAATTTGGGATGTTGCAAAATGATATTCACATCAGGATGGACTAAAGACACGACTTACGTAATTCGCATCGTTGGGGATTCTGCGTCCATTACACATTGCATGAGCTTGCTTAGCCAGATTTGTCTCACCAAAATCCACGAAGCAGTAGGCGGCAGGTAACCTGTCCATGAGTGAACAATAGAGGGCGGCAATAGTTAATCATGCGCCAGAGAGTGAAACGCAGCGAGGTTGAATTTGTGACATGGGCATACATTAACTAGTTCGCGTCGAATGACGTGTTGACACAATCTGGATGTTTCTATACACAGGCAGGGCTGATGGGTTAAAACGTAAAGCGTGCCTCGACTCGCCTCGCCGATGTCTAAACACGCTAATCCCCCATTTGTTTTGTACACACACACAAAGTCCGAGATGTCTGTGGAGGCGGACCGTGTGTTGACCTTGAACTGGGCCTCTGTGCACGGCCTATTTTTCTATAATTTACGCTCCAGTGCTCACCCCAGAGTGCTGCAAAAATATGAGGTTTCAGCAAGAAATATCGTACAAATACTGTTGAAATGACTCTTGCGAATCAGTGTTAGTAGTGGCAATTAAAGTTGGGCTGCTATAATTTGCCTTTTTCGAAAATCACAATTTTAGGCAAAAATAATCCCATCCCGAAGTGGTCATATTTTACTTGCTGACAAAAAATGGAACAAGAGCTAGTCAACTGTAAAGTAAACAGGCCAGTCCAAACAAGGGAGGGGGGTGTTGAGACCCTTCAAAACTGTGTGAAGAAATATCAAATTACTTTTTGGTTTAAAGGGAAGATACATCTGCAAACATCAAAAAACGAAATGATCAAATTATCACGAAATACCTTACTGAATTGTTAGGGACTCACAGTCCAAATCATCCTTTAAAATCGTGGCTCCTGGTATGCTGACATTTTCAAGAAAAACTGTATTTTTCCAACGCTGGTCGGCCGACCAGCGTTGGAGAAAACTGGCTTTTTTTTCAAAAACTGTCCCTAAGTTTTCATATTTAGTTATTCTGACTTTTCTTTGCAATTGATTACACACCTGTGAAGGGGTACAAGCCTGCTAGACTGATTCTCTGAGCCTACAATTCCTTAAGTGTATTAATTGCTCTGTTTCATTTTAAGTGGGGTCAGGGAACCAGACTTCAAGAACATGATAGGTTTTCTTGGTTTTTCCAGCGTCTACAAGCCCAAAACGTGAAACAAGTCAGTTTAACAATATTTTCTATAACATACTAATCCTCCAAATCCATTATTTCTGAAACTTACAGCAAAAGCAAATGTTGAACATTCCCTTTAAACTTAAGTTTTTTTAAAACTTATTATAGTCAGCTGATAGTTACTTACGAAGTTTTCTTGTCAATGAGAAATTTGACGGAGCGGACAGTGTGGCCCATCATCTGGAATGCATTTCGAATATAGTTCTCATCCATGTGTCCCTCCAGCTACGTAAGAAAAGAATTTAAAGTAAGATTACTGATTAGGCTAGGCCTAAACAAATTAGGGTATAAATTGCACAATAGCCTGCCAATAGAAAATAGCCCCAATGGCTATGCAGTCGAAGGGGCTACCCATATGCGCACGTGAATTCTGACTTTCATAATTTTTGTCATGTTTGTGTCATTATGTTTCAGTTTGTAAGGAAAATCTGATTTAACACACTCGAGACATGCAAGAAAAGAAAACCAAAGTTAAAAAAATTACATTGATGATTGACATCCACTGATCCACTTCCAAATTTTGTTGGCAAAAAGTAAAGCTGTAAAGGTTAGAACTTAGATAGTACTTCCACTGCACAAGGTTTATCAAGTTAAACTACTTACATCACCCATCCAGAGACTTGGATTTGTACACTGCCCATAGCCAGACATCTCTACTTTCAATTTTGGCCGATGAAAATGAGAAATTAGTTGCAAAACACCACCTGAAATGTTCAAAGACTGCAATTCAATTAGGACGCCCTCAACGGTTATTTGTGAAATTTTAGACTCAATCAATATATGTTTAAAGACAATGTCATAAAATAAATTTTACACAAACAAATTACATATTTTTGTGTCTAAATTATATTCGTACTTTTTAATAAAATATATATTTGTGATTTTATAAACTTTCTAAACACATTTTGAAGTTTTTAAGTTGCCTAAAATATAACATGTTTGATTTTCCAGATGTAACTTCAAGATGGCTGCGCCCACGTGTTTGGAAGTTTTTGTCGGCTGCTACGAAAGAACAACCCTCGGATATGAGGTTTATGAAAATGAGGAGGTACATTTTATTACTCATGAACTTCCGCTAAATATGAGTCTATGACTACGAGAAGTTTGATCTGAATGGAATTGACTTAACAATGATTTTCCGCTTTGTAGTTGTAGCCTAGTTTTTGCGCATGGGGGGGGGTGACTGATTGGGGGCGGGGACAACACGGGCATTACGGGGGGGGGATGGGAAGGATTCAGGAAAACTTAGTTCATTTATTACTCTTAGTCTTATTGTGTTATCATTATTACTTTTTTATTAGGAATATCGTGTTTTTAAAGTTGGAACAAGGTCAAGGATTGTTTAACAACTTTCTATTTTATAAGTATTTTGATCAGACATATTGTTTGCCAAAGAAATACATTTTTATTGTGTTAATTCAGGCCAAGTTTGCAATAAGAGCCAAGTTTACTGACAACTCCCACATCGGTTACGTCAAGACGTTAGCAGCCAGTGACTCCTTCCTAGCGACAGGGAGCACAGACGAGACCATCCATCTCTACAATCTGAAGACAAACAGAGAACTCGGGGCATTACTGCAGCACGATGGTAAAGAAGAGATAAAATTTGCCACCCAGTCCGCCTGTTGTGGGAGGGGATTTCCTTGAGAGCTCATTGAAGCATTCATGCCCTGTTATAGTGTTAGACATTAGAAAACAAATCGTAATGAAAAAGTTTTGAAATCCGAGGAAACAAAATTTGGGGAAAAACAAGAGAGATCAACAAGTTATCCAAAAATGATTTGAACATTTGTACAATTGTAAGTGGCATTTTTAATTTATTTTCAGGTTCAATTACAAGTATAGGTTTCCATGGCGACGGTCACATGATCAGTGGTAGTACCGATGGCACCATTGGAATATGGAACACTGCATCATGGGAACTGATGAAAAGCTTACGAGCCCACAAGTGAGTATGACGCACATCAAACGATTCCTGGTTGAAATTGCAGAATACTATTTAAAGTGGAAAAATAGTAAACAATTTGCTACTTTTCGAAATTTCTACCACTCTTTTTTTTTCAGGGGTGGAGTGAACTCGGTAGCCATTCATCCATCCGGGAAGCTGGCTCTGACGGCCGGGCAGGACAAGTTACTCCGCACATGGAACCTGATCAAGGGAAGGGTGGCGTACACAACCAACATCAAACAGGGTGAGACAGACAAGACAGACAGATAGACAGACAGCCCGACTGACCAAAGCCGAAGACAGGCAGACGGACGTGGAGAAAAACAGTACAAATTTAGATTGTAGATCAATTGGCCAGAGAGTCTAGTTTTTTGATATCCTCTTTCAACCCCTTGGGGGAGTGTGGCCTAGTGGTTAGGGATCGTGATGGGTACCGGCATTAGCTGGGGAGTAACATGCGATGGACTAGCATCCCGTCCAGGGGGAATAGAAATATTCTCAGTCGTTTCATGCTTCTGAAACCGGAACTAAATGCTGGCCTGATTGGTCACATTGGCTCGTGACAGACTTTCCTTTTTTTCTTTTTTTTTACTATCTACTCCTTTCATGAATGTTAGTGTAAGTAATAACTCAGCTACTGACAATCTGACCAACAGACAGCCATACCAACAGACAGCCCAACAAACAAACAAACAGGAAACCTGCGCATTCTTGCTTGTTGAACCGAGTGTTTTTCATTATATCCCCATCAGTGGCGGACTTTGTGTTATGGTCACCTGACGGGGAACTCTACATAATCGTCTGCGACAGAGTCATCAATGTGTACAGAATCACCACGGCAACCATTACGAGCTCAATAGACTGTGGGAGGAAAATCCTGGCCGTTTCCTTCCTCACAGTAGGTATCATTCGGGAGAATCCCCAATCCCGTTGTATAACATGACAGACCCAATGAGAATCCTGCCCAATTTGGAATCGTCGCGCTGCAATTAACTCATGGAAGCTGCAGATTTGCGTATATTCTGGAGCTGTAGTTTCAATTCTAATCTGGCCATTTTTCAGTTTATACCTGAAAAAAACTGTATTCATTTGGTAGAAAGTACTTAATCTGACTCCTTTTTTGGAAAGTTTAGCCAGTCTGTTGCTTCTGTAAAACGATATGCTATTGTACGAATTGTTGATTCTGTGGGTTTTTTTCTTCTAGAATCGAGTCTTGGCAGTCGGTGGAGAAGGTGAGAACATCCAGCTGTTTGAGTTATCTGAGGGGAAATCAACGTGCAAGTGCGACTTCAAGGCCCATGAAAACAGGTCAAACAAAAATTACTAAAATATAAATATTTTTTAAAAATGTAATAAACGTTATTAGCAGAGCTAAAAAGCCATGGAAATAACACTCAACCTTGTGAATGTTTAGCCTGCAAGCTTTCTGAAACTTTAAGTAAAAGGTCTTAAAAAATAATACAAATGAATTATGAATGGCTTAGCCAATAATAAAGCTATGGAAATAGTGTTCTTGAGCAAGGTATTTTACCGTAATTTATTCTTGTCTACTCTTCCATTCCTATCCCTACAATCACATCTAATGTGCTACATCAGTGATTGCTTGGTTTTATTTTTTTGTTCACAGAGTTAAAGGTATTCAGTCCACGTCGGACCGCAGCAGTCAACCGAAGGATAGCTGTCGGTGGTTGTTAACAGTCTCCAGTGACAGCTATCTCAAGCTTTGGTCCGTCGACACTGAAACGGTAAAGACCCTTCAGTCTCACTTAAAAATTATTCCACAAAACTGCACCCGGTAGACCACAGACTGGTAGTAGACTGGTGGATTAATATTTTTGGAAGACCTAATTATTGTTATTATTTATTTCTGGTAATGAAACCACGGACTCCTCAAAAGCGCACTAAGCACGGTAGCTTGAAAGCCTGAAGAAAACTGAAGAGAGAAGACAATGAGAAGAAATCACAGTTTTAGAGATGGGAGGAAAACCCCAGAAGAATATTCTGGGGAAAACCCATGGAATCAGGTAGGGACTGAAAACCCAATCCACATGTTGGCCCAGGCGGGATTCGAACCCGGGTCACAGCGGTGGAAGGCGAGGAAAGTACCGCTACGCCAACCTGACTCCCTGTATAAAAGGATACTGTTTTGTGATGGTATCATTTAATCTTGCCTCCTAATAGCTCGACGAGCCGGTTCTGCTTGCCTCAGTCAACACCACAGCCAGGTTAACCTGTGTCTGCGTCAGACCGGTGCTCAGTCAGACCTCAGAAGTACCAGCCTTGAAGCTGAAGGTGGAGAAAGCCAAGGATAAAAACGCCCCTGCAAAACGTAGAAGTACTGGTACAGAGCAAGGTGTGTGAACAGAACGCGACGAATGCTTCATTAGAATTACTGCCTGTTCTATAGTGGGCACGTGTGGTCCAGCGGTAGGGCACAGGATTCATGATAGCGAGATTGTGGGTTCGAGCCCAGCCGTGGCCATGCCTGTTGTGCCCTTGAGTAAGGCGCTTTACCTCAATTACTCCTCTCAACCCAGGTGTTAAATGGGTACCGGTATTATTCAATGCTGGGAAGGTAACAGACTCGCTGTGGAGGAGGTGTGGCAATCCCCCCACAGCAGCAGAGTCTGGCCCAATCGCTTTGAAAGAGAGATGGGCACTCTGTTCCTGTGAATACAGGTTCGTCCCCCCCCCCCCCCTTTTAAGTGAGCAATTTTTTTTCGAAACTAATATTCATAGCAAACTTCTCTTTTTATTTGCATTTTTATTTTGTGAAATCTGTGAAATTTTGTACAGCAAAAACTTAAAATTGCCTTAAGAGTTGGTAATCCGAATCAAGGGAAACCACTCACTGCCTTGCATTCTCATACAAAAGCACAAATAATGCTCCTCGTATTCCCAACCAATCCTAAAAATGACATTCGTAAAAAGTCGATTTCGAAATCAATAGATTTCAAATCAAATCAATGTACCTCTTTACCATTTTGTGAAGTATTTAGATATGCTGGGTGAGTCTTATGATATATTTTTATTTTTTCTTCCTTTTTTTTCCCTTTTTTTTTTTTACAGATGCAAAGAAGAAGAAACCCAAGACCAGAAAACAAAAACCTTAAAAGTGGACACCAAAGGAGGTTTTATTAAATTGGTTGTCCCACTGTTATCCGGAAGGCATTGTTTTCTATGGACCTGTCTACGGTCGAGTTCCGATTGGCACAATTCTTAAAACATTAAACCAAGTTTGGAAACACCAGCAAACCAAATGAATAAACTAATCAACAAAATAGTGATGCCGTAAGTCCCATGTAATATACATGTAAGGTAACTGGGCTGTACAGTACTGAAATCTGTCCAGAACATGCCAACTCCTAGTCAAAATTAGCAATGACAGTGAGTGATGAAAGATATCTAACTAGTTGTCACCCTAGTTTTGGGTGAAGATTTTTTTGTCTTGTTACATACAGTTCTTAACCAGAAAAGCCAGATCAGTAGTTACATTCAAATCTGTGATTACTTAGAACATTCAAAGTCAAGAATGATTAAACAAATGGAAAGATTCCCACATCTGGCCATCACTCATGTTTCCCTTCAGTGACCTATCAGCCATCTGAAAGTGATAATATATGTCCTAAAAAGTCAAATTTAGCAGGGAAAATATTGAAGTACTTACCGAGAAAACACTTAGAAATGTTCAGACCAATCTGATAGGGTTTGTGCACAGGGTGACAAGTGATGGCCAGATATGGGAATCTTTCCAAACAAATTCCTTATTTATCTAAATATTTTATGAGTTTCTTTACCTCTATCATATTTTAATTTCTGTCATCTTCAGTCATAATCATTTTTAAAACAAATTTTCCTTGGGACTTTTTGGACAAAACCTATAGGAGTCTTCCTAAAAGAGTACAAACAAAAGAGGGACAATAGGACGTCCACGATTTCGGAACAAGTTAGACACCGCAAACAATCAAGCTGCAATACTACCATGTTGTTATTTTTGCTTTTATTTTTGAGTGCGAAATAAATCATCGTGAATTGATTGGTGTTTTTTGTTCCTTTGTATTTAGCTTGTACATTTGAATAATTAACGGAGGTACTTAAAGTTGGCTTGTGACGATTTATTTTTGGATTTTTTTGCCGGGGGGGGGGGTGTCTTTGTGGAATGTTTTCACCTCGACTGTTTTTGTGCCTTTATAGTTTTTGTTTGGTTGAAGCTGTGATTCCTCACAGGCAAATGTCTGATGTCTTTTTCCGGAGTTTACCGCAAATGGAGACAAAACCCAACAAATGTTACACATGGTTAAGCCTATTAAGTAGAGTGTAGCCACGCCTACCGCCAGCCTTTTAGACGAGACAGCACCCTCTGTATGCAATTAATAATTAAAGGTCAGTGAAAAACGAACGTAAGAGGGCGCTGTTTAAGAAAACAAGCAACGGACGTGTTGGAGGAAATCCTGTCGCGTCGATGTGTGAGCAGGATTTTCATTTTTATGGATATTTATTTCAGGGGAAGTTCTTGCACATTTTGATAATAGCTCATTAATATATATGGCTTTGGGGTATTCGTGGAGGCCTTGTGATTCAAATGGTGAGTAAAGACCTACAAACTGAGCAAGTTTTTTTTATTGAAATGATGATCATGATGATGATTGACATGATTGATGCCTGATCATGATGACGAATTTTTCACTCTAGTTTCAAATTCAAGTTTCAAGTTTCAATTTTCTTGGCCTTGCGCCTTGACACTTTCCCCGTTTCCTTATGATTAATAACACAGAAACCCTTCGCTAATAACATCTCATGTCATTGTCTAATTTTAAGTTTATGGAGTGGAACTAAAATTACTTCATTTACACTACTACAATGAACATGTTTGTCATGTTTGTGTATAAATTACTCAGTTAATGTCTTAATTCCCAAAAAAATCCATGCACAATTTTCACTGCAGTGCCGGTACAAGATCGAAAACAATTGGGGACCAGTCTACGGCAAAATTACAAGGCCTTGTGACTTGTGTAAAACTAAAAGCAGGAGACATAATAAGATTCCAGATTTACATGTACATGTACCTTTATGACCTTGTTCTGATTTACAGGGAGAGACAGAAGAGCTTGACTCCAGGCAGTGGCTGACCTAACTGATTGACTCACCGACCAGTAGCCATGGCAGTTTCCCTGACCAGCAGACACAAGATAGTCCTCGTTTTTCTTGGCCTTCTGCTCACCTTGACTGTTGCTAGTCGCTTCTGGTACTCCAAGCACTTGCATGGATTACTGTGTGCCGCTCGGACTTTTAACCAATATGCCTACAGTGATGCTGACACAACACGCACCTTGGAATCTGATGGGTATTTGCCAGTCGTAATGACCGAGGTATCCGAAGAGGACGTGGCCGATAAAATCACTGATCTCAAGAACCACATCCGCAAGCAGAGGATAACAGAGGAGAAGCAGGCACTCGAACTGGGTATAATGAGCAGGCAAATGAAAAAGCGCCTGAAAAAGCAGAAGAATCCGTCAATGGGTTCGGTCGCCACGCAGGTGCTGCCCAAGGCGATTATTATCGGCGTGCGGAAATGCGGCACGAGGGCGCTCTTGGAGATGCTGGAGACCCACCCCCAGATCGCGGCCTGCGGGCCCGAGGTGCACTTCTTTGACAAGAACTACGACCGGGGATTGGATTGGTACCGGAGACAGATGAAACCCTCCGTGCCTGGCCAGATCACCATTGAGAAATCGCCCTCCTATTTTATCACTGAAACGGCACCCAGGGACATCCATTCCATGAACAAATCCATCAAGCTGGTGGTGATCGTCAGGGATCCCACCACTAGAGTCATCTCCGACTACACCCAGATTGCCTCCAAGGGGGTTTCCAAACTGGCCGGCTTCGAGGAGACAGTCTTATCCCAGGGAGAGGTCCGGACGTCCTACAAAGCCGTCCAGATCAGCATGTACAGCAAACACTTGCAACGTTGGCTCGACTTCTTCCCACTCGCCCAAATGCACTTTGTGGACGGGGATAAGCTCATCGCCAACCCATTGCCCGAGATGAAGAAAGTGGAAAGGTTTCTCGGGCTTCCTGATTTCATCTCGGAGAAAAACTTTTACTACAACAACGCCACCGGGTTCTATTGCCTGGCGGGTGATTTAAACAGCAAGTGTCTGTCGGCCAGTAAAGGCAGGGAACACCCGAAGGTGTCGACTGACGTGATCCGGAAACTTCAAGACTTTTTCAGACCGTACAATGAACAGTTCTTTAAGATGATCAATCAACGCTTTAACTGGCCCTAGTTAATCCCATCAACTGAAGGCTGAACATTGTTGTATTAGAATTTTCAAATAGTTGACATAGCCGTTGTGTACATTTGAAGTATTGTGACAAAAATTCCAAAATTGCTATTTTGTCAAAATTGATCGGGCAATTATAAAGCACAATTCATGATATCCATGAAAATTGTAACATAGTTTGTGCGATACATTCAGGGGAAAAAAATTGACAAACAGTATTAGTGTAAATAGAATATGCCTCAATGACGTTACTGTATCATGTCTCCATTGTCATGAAATTAACCATTTGTGTAATTTATCTTGTAAATATGGTATATATTTTCTTGTACATCTGCACAGCATTGGACCTGTTTTTATACACAATGTAATTTTGTACAAGATATTGGAAAGCAGGCACTATATAATATACAAATAATGAATGTTTGTGAGTGCAATGGTAAGAATAATTTCATGAGGTGACTCCACGAGGCGAACATTTCATCTGTCACCGAATGAAATTATTCTTTCCATTGCACGAACTTGAAACATTCATTATTTGTTTTATACAACACCTGAATAAATCCTTGTCATCTGATTGGTTGACTTTTAATAGCAAATTTATTCAGGTTAAAAACTTTTGAAAAGTTTGACAAGTTCATCAAGTTTATATAAATGCAAACTGTTCAACAGGTTGAGAACAATCGTATCCAATTTATCTCGATTTGAAACAGCGCCACCACCAGCAGCAGTGACACCGTGCAATGGAAGTTCTATATACCATGCAATGGAACTTCCATTGCACTGTGCGCTGCGCGCCACGCGCGTGCCGTGCCTTGGTACGAATAATTCAATGACGTGATCAACGATCCACCAATCAGATGACGGGGATTTATTCAGGTGTTGTATACAAGAAAATAGACGTGTTTGGAATATTATGACCAAGCATGCAATAGACCCAAGACATACATGTACATGTACATTGTAATAACGTCATGCTTTGTTTACATGTGCGCGTTCCTTTAGGAGCAAGGTGGGATGAGATCCACCAAGCTCCCATAGGAAAGCGCACATGTAAACCAAGCGTGACATCATTGTCTTGGGTCTATATATATACATTGTACATGTACGTATTATGTGTAAAATTATGTACACCAATAACGGAAAGAAATACATGTATAAAATAATTGTATAAACCAAACCACCAAACTGCACTGTACCATTATGCTACTTTTCTACATTGTCCTCAATTTTCGTTGTCCATTTAGGTCCACTAAAAAGTAATTTAGCTTACAGCAGGAGCAACTTTGCCTTTTTTGCTAAGTTCAGAGCCATCTGCCGAAGTGTTCTGCGCATTAGCTTTAATAAGTGTGTAAAGACATCAGCGCGCGTGAACCAAATCAAAGGCAGCTGACGTCAGACTTTATTACTCCATAACATTAGAAATTAATTAAGTCACAAACCCCAAACAAATTGTTGGAAAGAAACACAGAGGATTTCTTTGGTTCCAGCCCCAAAATATGCAAACCGTATAAGAACTAATTGCTTTTTCAAGACAATTTTGATAAGAATATCACTTTTTACTAACGTCACCGTCTGTTTCTCAGTAAGCATGTTGATATATTTGTATTAACAAATCATGTATTAATGCAATTATGACTAATGACATATTCTTGTATCCCTCTTATATAACCATTTTCAATTCAAAAATATGAAATAAAATTTGAGACACTAAAACATTTTTTTGACTATCACTGAATCTTTATTTATTCACTTCAAGAGTATCTGGTTAATGAATTTCCAATTCTCAGAATAAAACTCGGTGTCACTCAAGAAAATTTTATACATGTACAGTGAATATTGCAAACATCAAACAGTTCCACCACAAATAAACACCCAGAGAGCATGCCTTACAATCTATAGATACATTCGATTCTTAAAATTTTCTTCAAAAATATACATAGTATAAAATACCTGGAATTCGATGGCATTATTATCGAGCAATCATACATGGAATTTTGTCGATAAAATGAGGACGTCACTTTGAGGTGGCATGAACTGGAATATTTAGCAATGCATTTGTTAATGTTTTCACAAAGGGAAGTTCCTTTAATTTTGTCATCAAATTTGTCTGGAAGCATTTGAGAAATTGTAATGGTTGCATTTTTGATATATCTCAATTGTTAAAATTGTGCTGCAAACATGCAGAAAAGAATCGCCAATTAAATTAGTTAATAATTAAAATGCACCGAATTTCAATGACAGGCACTGTTTTTGTTTGTGTTTTTCTAACTAAACTGACAATACACCTGGAAAATATACGTAAACAGAACAAGTGTGGTTTAGTAATGCATAAAACCAATTGATTTGTGAAGTTCAATAAAAACTGCAAACACCCCCCAAAAAAAGAAAAAAGAAAAGAAAAATAAACAGCTAAATCTGAACATTTTCTCAGTTTTTCATTTCTTGGAAACTATGAACGACTGAAAAATAAACTGAAATTGGAACGACTAAAAAATAAAAATCTGTAACAATACTTGTATTCTAAGCCCTTATCATAAATGAACATCATCAACAGGTGTTTTGTCAATAATAACTACCAGAAGCTTCATCAGGCACTCAAAAACCTTTTGCATTTACAAATTTACATTCGAAGAAGGCGTTGATTTTGATTTTAATAAAATGCATAAATTTCATCCAATTTGGTAGATTTGATTACAAAGATAAAAACTACACATAGGCACTATGGGAAAAGTACAAATATATACAAAAAAGGAGTCACACTTTTGTCGATGTTACAAAACTGATACAAACGAAAGTTGGAACGAACACAATGATACACGTGTACAAAATGGACACAGAGCAGTTGAAGGGTATTTTTTTCTCAATAATGCACAAACAGAATACATGTACATGTACTCTGTTACTTGTGAGTTTATATTGCTGCATGTAAAAGCGATGAAGTTGGAATGTTGTTTATTTCAGGAACTAATTTTGCGGAGTCACTGAGCGAAAACTTTGCAGAGATATATTTTTACTTGGCCAGACAAATTTACCAGCAAAATTCTGGCTTGATTCATTTCTTGTGACTTGTTTCAACTGATTTTTGCTAAAGACGTAATTTTGGCCTAAAGCAGGGACAACCTCAGCAATTTCTGTGTCCATCTTGTACAAGAATCGTTGCCGTTCGCCAACTCTCTAAGACACTTCATATATCATATCATTATCTCTCTGATGCTTTTGGAAGCAAAGAAGGCTACATCTCATACTGGGTGGGCTGTAGTTTCGGCATATCGCTGCTTACAAACGGATCCGGAAAGAACTACGGAAACAAAGCACAAAGTGAAATAAGTGAATCCAATGTGAGCAACACATAAGCTGCACAAATCCATTTTCCAGTCAAAACTCAAGAACAAAACCAAGACTTATTGATGAAAAATGCTGGAGATACATTTATTGCTCTATTTCGAATTCCCTTTCTGGGGAAAACAAATAAGTTTCAACATGATACTCACTTCAAGAAGTCAGGGGATTTCGAGATGACATGCTCGAACTCGGCGAAGGACAAAGCATCATCATCATCCAAATCAGACTCCTCCAGAACCTAAAAGGGGATAATCGAAACAATGTCTTGACTGAAAGCATTCCAAAACAGAGGCCACGGGTTCTTCCAATTTTGTTTCCTCCTGGACTACCCAAGGATGAACTTGCAAATTCCTTAAGATACTAGAACAGGCTGAATTGATAAACCTTTCCAGATTCATCATACTTGAATAGTCACAGAGGTATCGATTTAAAACAAAAAGTCACGCAACCACAAAACATTTCGAGGGTAAAACAACCTCCCGGCGGTGTGCAATCCTCTTGGGTTAGCGATCTGGCTCGGAAAGAGCCCACACAGAGGGACGACAAATCAATTTTGGAGTGTGGAAGTGATTAAACTCAGTAAAGCCATTGGCAGGTTGTCAATTTTCAGAAGTTAACTAGGAGACCAAAACACCTGGGGCCAATTTCATAGAGTTGCTTAAGCATAAAATTTGCTTAAGCACAAAAAACCTTTGCTTAATATAATCAGGTTACCCACCAAAACTCCATGCGATTATTATGTTAAGTAAACAACAGCCAAATACCAGTCACAAGCAATGTACATCGCATGGAGTTTTGGCCAGTAACCTGATTATATTAAGCAAGGGTTTTTTGTGCTTAGGCAAATTTTATGCTTAAGCAGCTCGGTGAAATTGGCCCCTGTAACCTGCGGGCAAGCTGGTCCGGTGCCCAGCTTAAGCAGTCTGATGGAACCGATGCAGGAGGCAGGTAAATTGACTGGAACAGAACCAGTTCGGACTGGTCTTAACCGGTTGCACTTGTGCATTAATCATAAGATACAGGGCCTGTTGGGAAAATACTTCCTTCCCCCATTCAAGAATGACAGATATAACTACATGAACATGTACTGTCTTTCTAATGAGAACATATCCACCAATATAGAGGCTAAAGGTGCAACATCATTATTACCCCTCCGCAATGGGTACAGGGATAATAATTATATTTGGCCAACAAAATCTCCAACTTTAACTATGGGGGTCAAAGTTGATAAATTAAACCCATAGGCCACAATGCGTAAAGCTGCCTATGAGGAAAGCAGTAATCGATATAATCGATATCATTGTTATTCTCCTTACATTATCAATGAGCTGTTGCATATCAGTATCAGACAGCTGCTGCTCGCCACTCAGCCTGTTCACCACTTCCCGGAGGTCGGCACTACTGATGAAGTCATCGTCGTCAAAGTCTGCGAGACAAGGGAAAGAGGCAAAATAAAAGGGAGCTACAGAAAAACAGAAGACTCTGACCCTCTTTTCCGACCAGCTATTTTGCCCCCTATTTCCTTGTAGTATTTATTTACTCTCACTGTCTTGTAAATCTTTGACCCCTGTGGGCAAGTTGCCCCCCCCCCCCCCTCTCTGGTTACCCCACTGGGCGCTATCAACAAGATGAGTCAAATCCAGTCTTGGGAACGTCGGCACATGGACCCCAGAAATTCCCAGTATGTATATGGACGTGAAAACAAAACACATGCACAGCAGTGTTGAAAAGCCACTCACCATAGATTTGGAATGCATATTCTGCCTTGACGCTTTTGGGAGCGGCGTCGCTGAAGACAGACATCATGTCCAGGAAGTCTTCAAACAGAAGGGAGCCATCGCCAGTCGAGGAGAACACCTTGCAGATGCGATCCTTGAAGGGATTGACCTGCGAGTAAAATGGATGACGACTAAGATTTGTCTACTTGTCACGGAATGACTAGGTGAAACAAGTCCAGTCCTGAGAGGGGCCTTGTAGCCGAGCGGTTAGAGCGTGGAGCTACGGAGTGGAAGGTTGGCGGTTCGAATCCCATTCGGACCAAAAACTGGAAAACTCTCTCTGACGACCCAACAGTAAAATGGGTACCTGATTCGTTCAGGGAAGGTAAGACGGCGAGAGGAGAGGACTGGGCCCCGCCACTCATATGCCGCGCCCAAGACACAGTGGACCTCTAACATCCCACTGCCCCTACGGCCAATAAATGGCTATGGGTACCTTTACCTTTACCTTTTTACCTGAAAGTTGGCCAAATGCCAAAAAATTGCCAGAGCTCTGATTGTGCCAAAAGTCCAGTAATCGCAACATTTGGGGGACGTTACCTTCAATTCTGGAAGCTCAAGGATCGTAGACATGGACAGTCTTGCATTCTTGTCGGCTCGGACGGCATCTGGATCTAAGAGATGGAATCTCTTGTGCACACTGAGATCAAAATGGGGAAGACAGACGATTAGAAACAATACACTTGGGCTAATCCTTATCAGGACGGACCAGGATTGCAATAACTAAAATATACAATATGAGAAAGTATATTGTGTTGCCAGATTCAAATATCACATTTCAGTCAATGCATTAAGACTGTTTATAAAATATTGCTTAACCCTCTTATTTAAAGTCACAAACAGTCAATAAAATGTTGCTTGACCCTCCTATTTAAACAGTCACAGACAGTCAAAATTTCCATCCACTTCCCCCTCTATACTTTTAACACAGGCTAGTCACTAGCAGTCAGATGATCAGATCATATGTCAAGCAAGCACTGTGACTAGTCAAACTCACTCAACAGACCATGAACAGACAAAGCAGGCAAGTTGTGGGCACAGCTGGGTTATCAATTACCCACAGTCAAAGCAAAGCTAAATCAAGTTACATAAACAGTCACAGCCAGTCAATCCTGCTTTATGTAGGCTGGGAGCTCTTAACTATTGAAGACAGTCACTTGATTGATTTTGACTGCTAGGACTACTTGGCCCAGAATGTGTGTTTGCATAGGAGGGATAAACTGTTTACAAAGTACATCTTACTCTGTGTCATTTTGATTACCATGCTAAACATTTCTGTGCTAAAGTTCAATCTTTTTTAAAATTTGAATTCTTTTGTAAATGCTTCACTTACTGCAGGATTTCTTTCTTGCTGAAGAACGTTAGTTCCTGCGATTAAAAAGAATAAAAACAAGGCTTACAAAAACAAAATTTCTGTTTTTAGAAATCACTCTGCATAATCGCATGCTAATTGCTTGCAAGTGTGATTCTTGTACACACCCGTATGGTACAATCATACATGTACATGTACACAATTCTGACAGGAAGTCTAAAGTCCAATTATTCGTTGGCATTATGCGACGACCTCACAGTCACCCCATATCTACAGTCTATTCACAGCAGGGTTGCTCTTAACAAGTACACTCATAGCTCCCCTCCCATGCTGCGTCGCGGTCAACGCATAATGCCACAGACGGTGATATCCCTCTGGCAAGCCATATTTAGCTCGTAACATACAACACCTGGGCTTGTGAAAATATCTGTTGATAACAGATAAAAACAAATGAGCAGTTGTGCGATATTACACGACATTGTTTGCAGTCTGGGTGTGGCACCAGAGATCAATTGGCACTATTTTTTTTTTATTTTTTTTTTATTAAAGTGGCATAATGTTTTTGTCGTGTTTTGACATAGTTTTTACTTTTATTTTTGATGTCTCTCTTTCAGGAGAGGGCAGTTGCACACCTGTGATTTAATAAAATCTAATCATTTTCAAATCAATTATGGGGATAACTAATAAGGATGCTTACAAAATGAACATCATATTTTTTTTTTTGAATCCACCGATATGAAATTCCTACACAATGTTTTTTTCTTTCATTGAAAAAGATACTTACTAAAAAATCTCATCTTTGTGTTTTTATTATTCACTAAAAACTCTTTGCAATATCCGAATGGACAAAATGTCCCCAACCAACATCTGGCAGAGAATATGTTTCATTCCACTGTAAGTTTTTTAATTTTCTTAATTTAGCGGAATTGGGAAAATTAATTAATAAATAATTCAAATATTATTTCAGCATATTATATTTTTTGTGATTAATTTATTGTTCTGCGCTGTGATTACACTTTATTGTAATTGTATTGTATTTCATTGTACTTAAAGTTTTACGATTTTTATCAACTCCAGTCTCCTACTTTTTATTGAAGTAGATTTCATTTTCTTCATAATCCGTGGCGCACGAGGTTTTTTTTTTTAAAGGAAAACAAAGTCCGAGAACCATTTGGCTGATACTCTGTCTCCAAGAACCAAAGATCTTGACATTGAATACTTTACTACTGCTGTAAACAGTAGCCACTGCGAATATTTTACCAAAACAGGCTCACAATGATTTAGTCATGTTATTGATTAAGTTAGTTCTGTAGTACAATACAATCCTTTTCAAGATCTAAGTTCTAAACTATTTACTTTATAATTAAATCTTGTCATGCCTGTGCACATGTATACAAACTACGGAAAGAATGTTGCAACCTCTGTCACTTTTTTCTTCATATTATGATGAAGGTCATTCATTGCAAAAATGGTGATACTGATAGTGCTACTGAGCTGAGAAACATTTCCAATTTTGTTACCTAGAAAATTGTCTTGACTCTGCACAGAAATCCATGTCAGCATGGTCAGACTTGTAACTTGTAAGTTCTATTGTACACAAATTAACCGCGGAAGTGGCATGCAGGTATTCGTTGCAACATTCTTTCCCCAAATACATACATTTGTACGGTATGCAATGTCACGACCGAATTTACAGATTTATTTGACTGTTGGCACGACAGAAAAAAAGCAAGCGGAAAATCCATTAGTGTTTTACCCGGATCCCTCCTCAAATTGAGAGTCAATTTTGTGCATGGAAAAGTCATTGAGGCTCAATGACTTTTCCATGCACAAAATTGACTCTAGTCTTGATCTGTTGAAAGGGTGTTCGTTGACAGACATGATTCACAGATGATGAAGCAGTTAATTTATCCCATCATTTTCTCACCTGATAATCATCGAGTTCTGCCTCACTGAAAACACTGTGCGATCCTCCCATCTTGACGGCACCTTTGTGCGTAAAGACTTGTTTTTCTTCGCTTTTTCAAGTCAAAAATTTAGTTACTTTCAGTTATGTACCCCATCACGTCATCGTTGTTATGCATGAATGATCTACGTAACGTAATCGGTAATTCAATCCATTATATCTGTCACTGGTAAAGCGCAAGTAGTATCACAAAACACGAAGGCGGTCGTTCACCAGCGTCATTTGTGCGCAACAGGTGGGCCGAGGGCGCCCTTTAGTTGCTCCATAGATCAGCAAGGAACCCCGTCAACCATGCGTACACAAAATAAAGATAACTGCATTCCATTTTCTTTTGAAAATTAAAACAATATTTGAACTTATCAACCCCCAAGACTACATGAACAGTTTTGTGACACTTGCAATACAAGCTAAACCTGAGTCAGGTTTAGCTTGTATTGCAAGTGTCACAAAACTGTTCATGTAGTCTTTGGGGGGGGGGGGGTAGTCGCCGGCGCGGCAAAGTGGGTGGAGGGAGTGGGGGCGAATTAAGATTTTTCTATTCTGTGTAATTAATTTGCACTTAATTTCTCTTTTTTACACAGTTGACACTACATATGGTTGAAAGTTCTGTATTTCTGCATTTTCTGGATATCCTTTTTTGTTACACCTCAAGATAGGGCCCCCAGGGACTGCCACACTTTTCCTTATGATGTTCACCCAGCTAGGCAACTAATTATAAGTAGATCCAGATGTTATATGCACACTCACTCCAGGTACATTTGTACATGATTTTCAAATAGTAATTGAATTTCCTGCGTTGCCGGTAGATTTGACCATTTGACCCATGGTTCCTTGCTCTATGGTTTTTAATCGTCATGCATGAAGCCGAGGCCAGGATCGGTGCGCCGGCCGCCGTCGGCTCGCCGCAGCCAGGGACGTGGTCATCATGCACTCGGCGGGCGCATTCAGTCGGCCGCGGCGGCGCGGCGCCATGCATAATGAGAAGGAGATACTCGGCTCAACGCGGACTGCCCGCTAGAAATGATGATTTGCAAAAAATAATAATACAATTTATTTTCCCAGCTGAAGTAAACTACCATGCAATAAAAGGTCTCCACACCGTGCAGTTTCAAATTACATATCTGCGTAAATTCAACTAATTGTAGGATTAAAAAAAACCTAAATTTATATGTATATGAAACGTAGAAAATAATGGGGCCGTATCATAAGTCCGACGCTTCATAGGTCCGACGCCTCATAAGTCCGAAATTTCGGACTTATGAGGCATCGGACTTAAGAGGCATAAAATTTATTTATTCCGCCTCATATAGGTCCGACGCCTCATAAGTCCGACGCCTCATAAGTCCGACAACGGAAAAACGAGGCGTTTAATTTGTCGGACTTACGAAGCGTCGGAGCTATGAGGCGTCGGATCTAAGAGGCGTCGGACCTATGAGGCGTCGGACTAATGGGCCTTTTGGTTAGGGGATGCGATTTTGTCGGACTTTTGAGGTGTCGGACCTATGAGGCGTCGGACTTATGAGCGGACCCCAAAATGATAATTTCTTCATTGCCGGCGGTCCTCGTTCCACCTAAAAAAACCGAAAATGGCTGACAGTGGTTGATTCTAACAAATATAACAATTATATATAAATCAGTCAATCAAAATGAAAGCAGTAATTTTCATTTTGAACATCGTTACCTTTTACTCTAGTTTTTGACCAGGGTGACCGTAAGGTCATGGCCAAATTCTGCTAAATGTACTTCAACAATATCTGCGATTTATAAAAAATCTGCCAAATTCCACAAAAATACTCGAATATACACTTAAAACACATGCAGATGTTGTAGTATTACCTGAGTTTTAAGGTTTACTATTATCTATTTATTATTTATTTATTCCTAAGAGGCCCATTTTATGCCTGTACTAAAACAAATCATTTTATTATGTTAAATCATTTTATTATGTCAAATCATTTTATTATGTTTACATGTACTAATTTACTGTATACATAGCAATTCAAAACACAATGCAGTGTTTTGTTTTATTCACAGAAAGGACTTGTTTAATTGTTTTATTTCTTTAAAGTTTTACGTAGTTATAATTTGTTAACATTGTTTTTAGCGTGTCATATTTAATCAGTAATAATGTCATATTTAATTTTGGGTAATCCAGCGGGAGCTGGTTAAATATTATACTGTGTATGTTTTGTCTAAAATGTTCATGTGTATTTCTGAGTATTTAATGTTGTTGTTTGTTGTAACAATGTATCCCGAAAAATGAAATAAATTTAAATGTAAATAAACAAACTATAGTCACATAAAGATGTTATGAAATTGCATAAATTTAATTTCAGGCAAAACGCAGTTGTCACAACGAAGTCCGGTTCTCATAACCTAGCTAGACCACCAGTCAACCTGTCCTATTTTGCAAGGGTTTGTTTGAAAAGATTGAAGCTTTTTTTTAAACAAATGTACATTTTTTCCCCCAAGTTTGTTGTTTTTCTGTCAAATAACATTTTTTTCAGAATTCTGCCAGAAATCAGCCAAAAAAAAATCCTTAAAAAATCTGTCAAAATTAGCCGAAAATCGGCTAAAAACGGTCTTCATGTTTTTGACATCACGAGGGTTTGTGATAATGGTTTCAGTTGTCTGGGTTTTTTGTGTGCTTTGTTTTCATCAAACCGGTTCAGACCCGATCCAGCTGGACTGGATTTATGCAACACAAAGCCGTTTTGCACACAAAGTATTAATTATTCATCATAAACGGTTATCATCATTTTAAGCTTCGTAACGTACAAAAGAAGCCGAGAACCAGTGATGATGAATAATAATATACACGGGGCTCGTCTGCGCATATGGTCCAAAACGTGTTCGCGGCGCATCATATCCCATCATATGTAAACAAGCTAAGAAAACCGGCCGGCCGCGCAGCTGAGTTGTCATCGAAATTGGGTGCAAGTGAAATTGTCTCATTTTCAACAAGGAACGTCGGGCGATCGTGCTTCTTTTCCGTTGAGCACAAAGCAACGAGATATTGTAGCTGTTGTTGGCTCGATTTATAACAAACTTTGTTCGGAAAGAAGCCGAAAATGTGTGCTCCATCGCCCAAGCGGTTGGTGGACTCCACCGGCCCGCCCGCCACTTCTCCCCCGTCTGAGACGGGCGAGGAGAACGGCTCAGCGCCGCTGCCATCGTCACCGGAGTACGGCAGTTTATACACCGACGGCAACACATCACTGCCGCAAATGGATCCCGTCTCCACTCATCACCTTCTCCAAGTGCGAGATTATCAGAACAACAACTGCCTCGATTCTGACTTCCATCACAAGACTAGAGTCGGGAAATTGCGGGACGCCAAAAGCAAGTTTTTGTCGTGTTTGCGACAGAAATTTGGTGTGATTTTGACCGGGGCCGTCTTCGTGTTGTTCTTCAACATCATCGGCTGGATGGGTTGCTACAGTGTCCTCTTTGTGAGTCTGCAAGATGAATTTCGCAGCAGCGCCACTGAAACAGGTGAGAAAATCGTCTCCGAAAATTAAACTGAACTTAAATATAAACAATATTTTGTTAATAAACTGATCAGTTCAGCTGGTCTTAGAAAAGTTATATCCATTTTGAATCAAGACTATAAAGTAAATGATTGCTAAATTGTTTGTGTGATAATTTTTTTCCCATTTTGACAACTTTTATTAGATATGACATCACACTTTAATCTGAAAAACTCTTCAAAATGTTTGCCCAAAGATTTGTATCAAACATTGTCAAATGTCAGAACAAATATTGACTTTGTTTATCTTTGTTTATTGTCAGATAGTCGTAGGAATAGGAAGTTATTGTGTTTCATTTTGATTTGTATATAATTTTAACATCACAGTTGTTGGTGTTTCATGATCGTGATGATTTAAATGGAACCTGCATGATCTGTTAACAATAACAATATTTTTTTTGTACTTCTTTACTTTATCCTGACTGAAATATACTTCCTCAAAATCATTGTTTATTTTATTCATTCCTACATCATTGTTTCCCATAATTTGCCCTGAGATGGTCAGTCTAGGAATTTGGGGGGGGGGGGGGGGGGGGGGGCAGGGGAACAAAACTGCATTTTGAGTGTTTTCTTTAATTCATCTTTCTATTTCTATAGCATGATAAATACTAAATAGAGTGAATGTTATTTTCAGAATTTTCAGAAATTACATACATTTGTATTTTGACTGTAGTATCTTAGTTACTCTTTGCAAATGCAACATTGTCAAAATTTGCATACATAGGGCCTATATACTTCCAAGATAATTTCTAAATAAATAATACAATAGCCCTCTCTTAGAATAACAGCACAATAATATTCAGTCCTTTATAATACCCACCAGACACCTTGAGAGTAATCTATAGCTGAATCATTTGCATTTTTGATTGAAATCATCAGAAACAATTTTGTCATGGCCACAATGTAAGTGGAAATTTACACAAACTAGTACAATCCAATTGTTATGCCCCGTGCACACAGTTTAGGCTGAATATGGTTTTTATAATCAGCAGCTAGAGGACCAACTGCGCTGGTGATAAAACGGTCACCATGGTCACTGGACAAAAGAAGGGCCTTGGTTATTTTATTGCGCAATATAAACCTACATGTATTGCAAAAAAGATTGCTAAATTACATGGCAGGGTTCAGTCATTGGTCCTTTAATAGTTCACAGTTGACTCTGTGTTCATTTTGTATGGAAGAAATGATTCAATAAAATACTTTTAAAAATCCCTTAAAAATATTTTGTCAGTTAACATTATTACTAGGTAATGCCATGGAGGTAGAATTCATGGAGGATTTATTCCTCCATGGTAATGACTACAAATAGTGCAGGCCAGCAGCAATAAATTCTGCCTGCTTAAATAAAAATAAAAATAAAAATAATGGAGACTTTACTAAACCATGAATACGTGCGATGCACATATACATATTCATAAGCTAGCTGAATGCATTCCTAGTTGATAATGCCATGTATTATGTAATCTTTCAAGGAAACATGTGAAGTCCACTGCAGTAGCCAATAGCATGAGCCATGTCTGTAAACATTGCAAGGTTAAATTTCTTATTTACATACATACCTACCCCACAAGTCTTTGCATGAGACCGAATCTCTCTCCATTGTTCAGTTTGTCTGGAGGTCCTTTGTATTCAAATTCCATCCTTACTCAGGCATGTCTTGTTTTTCCTTTATGGTCCACTGGCTTTGTAATGGGAGCAAACTGACCTTGCGCAATAAATACATGTAGGTACCAGCTGTTGCAATGCCAGAAAAAATTGCAAAATAGAAAGATGGGGTTGGCATTGGGCCAAAAGGTATTTGCGTATCCTTTTGTGTATCCTGATTGAACTGTCAGCCAGCTAGACATGTATAGGAATTTAAAAATAGCTACATTTCAGCGCTCCAAACTCTGTTCCAACTTAATCTTGCAACAGAAATGTATCATAAAATTAAAACTCTACGCCTTGAATGGTGAAACCCTTTAAAAAGAATATTTTGGAAAGTTCTGCAGTTTCCAACAGAAATTAAATCGCATCACTTAATCCTCTTTTGAACATGAGGAACTACAGGTAGTTGTTGAAAATGCACAAAGAAACCCTCACCACCAAAACAAGGGGGAAAAAAACAAAAAAAGAAATGCAAATTATTTTCATATCTTTCATCAATGAAGTGGTTTTCCATAGAGATTTTCATATCTTTCATCAATAAAATGGTTTTCCATGACCCAACAAATTGCGGCAGAATTGATTTAATTAAATCATAATCCAGTGTAAAATCCACAACCGAAGATGAGTATAAACTGATATATTAATTTGATTCCTTGATTTAACAAATCTTTTTATCAGCAGGCTCAGGTAAGGTTAATTATCTAACCCTTAAAAAACTTTGTGAAATTTTTTTTGGCAAAATCTTACTTGAGTGTTTCCCCCCACTTCTACGTGTAGTACATGTCTGTGGCACCGGCCGGAGCAGAGCTCGGCGGACTGGGGTTTCTCTATTACTGTCACAATGGGTCTCCTCCTTGTCATGGAAACCGGTCAGATGAGCTGCCAAGATGTTGATGCGTTCTCTGATGTACCAAGCCCTGATGTGGCTGTTTGATGTACTGATGTTGAAAGTGCAGCGTAAGACCCAGAAGCGAGAAGGCGCGGAGCTTTTATTACTCATCTCATGCTTCACCATCCCTCCATGATGAATTCAACAGCGCCCTCAACCATCGCGACACGCCTTCAATGCAACAACATCCGCCATGTTGGCAGTCCCACGCTCCATTCATCTCAACCGAGTCTGAGGCCTGATATATCCGTATGCTGTAAACACCATGAATTTTTTTGTTTTTTTAGATGATTTTTTTTTTAATCCTTTTTTTGTGTGTGCTTGTTATTGTTCATCCAAACGGCTCTGAACACGACAGACAAATCGTCTCTAACAACCTGATGATTGTTTTTTCCTCTCAGTCAAGGGCAATAAAATCCTTGTGAAATTTGACAACCATTGCCGATGCATTTAACAATATGTTCTCTCCCAATATAGCGTATAACAAAAGGAGTTATTCCTTTCCCCTTTTTATTCTGCTTTTTTTTTTTTAGGGGGGGGGGGGGGCTTCTGCATTTTTTTTTATGGTTACCGTGCAGTAACCCTTGAAATAAAAATAAAGAATAGCTTGACAAAATAAAAGTAACCTAAGAAAAAGGGATGAACCCTTGTTTACTTCAATTATTCACAAATTAAAACCCAAATAATAAATATGGAAATGTTTATGTTTTGTCTTTTTGGGGGTAGTTTTTCAGAAAGAAAGTATTAGTTTTATTTTTTAAGGACAAAATAATGTCCTTATATGCTTGTAATATTGAAAAAAACTTATTTTTTTTTACTTTTTTATTTTTTTACGAAAATATTCCTTTCATTTTTTTTCCCTTCAAATTCACAAACTCATTTCATCAGAGGTGATCATATTGGTTGTTGGCAAGTTGGGCTGTACATGTCTGTCTGTCTGTCTGTCAGGCTGGCTGTCTGTCTGTCTGTCTGTCTGTGTTTTTTGTCTGCAAAAGTGCAATCAGTCCAGTGAGTTCAATAAACAAACTAAAAGTAGTAAAAAAATACGTGCGAGTGCACCAAATTATTGGCTATTGATTGGACTGATTGCATTTTCTCTCGTTAACTGTGATTTTGTCTTGTCTGTTGAGCAGGTATGCATACTATAAAGCTAAAGGATATATGTTTGTCTTGTTATGCTGCTGTTTGGGAGGGGAGGGGGGCTAACAGATCGCAATATGTGTGATTGGGAACTTTTCTCTCGAGAAGCAAAATGGTGCACTCATTAAGAAATGCATACCTGTGCTTTTTTTAAACTTGTTTTGTTCCTTTTTTTGTGTGTTGCTTGTACACTTCACAGAATGTAAAGCCAATACCCTTCCAGTTCAAATGATCATTTTATATCAAAAACAGTTTATGTGAACAATTCATGCTCCATGCATACTGTAAAAGCAGTGGGATGTAAAGTCAAAACTTAGGCCTATTGGCTCTACATGCACGTTTTATTGGCCGTGTCTTGTCCTTTGTTTTGTTGTCTTATACGTGCTTTGTTTGTCTGTCCGTAATGTTCTATGTTCTTCCATTTTTTGGTCTGCTACATGTACATGAGCTGCTTTTGGGAGTCAGATTCATTAACACTTGGCAAAACTCGTCAACAAAATGAAAAATGTTAGGGAAACCAGAAATGCGTTTGAAATAAAAAGCATAAATAAATCTGTATAATCTTGAATCGCCCCATTATCGTCTTGCAGATACTGTTGGTTTTTTTTCCCACAAATTAAAATTTTCCCCTGCAAAGTAGATTAAGAACTCATTTTGAAGAAAATGCCAGGTAAAAACAAAAATTATGTAAAAGGCTCATCTATTGCATACATACCAACGTATTTATCAGAATCCTTTTATTATAGATGTTTTTTTTTCATGTTTGTCAGCGCGTTCATGTACATGTGGTTTGTTTCCGAGTGACCTAGACATTTTAATGCATGACAATAAGGCATATATATCCAGATAAAAGAATTAAATGTGCACCTTTATTTTTGAGAGAAAAAAAATCGTAACATGTCATTCGTTTTCACATTAATACTTCTGTTTGGGCGTGGGATTTGGGAAAAGGGTCTTTTCATGCTATTTTCAATTGGAAAGGGTTAGGCCTTATTTTGGCCTTTTGATTAATGCCACTAACTTCAGTAAGTTTAATAATGCATACATCACACATGTACGTGATACACACATGTACAGTATGAGAGGAGTGTGCAGAATTCTTACATGGCTAACACAAAAACTAATTCGACCATCCGTGGCCCGTCCGTTGTACGGCTATGCTTTGAAAAGCACATTTACAAATGTCTTGACTCTGACACAAATCTACTTTATCTCCCCTCCTCTTCTCTTTCCAACCCTTTTTTTCCTGTACACAGGCTGGGTGGGTTCCCTGGCGTACATCATCAACTGCGTCTGCACGCCGTTTGGCGACTTCCTGCTCCGTCGCTTCTCCAGCCGTGTCATCTGCGTCGTCGGCATCTTGTGCTGTTTCGTCTCCCTGATTTCGTCCTCCCTCATGCCGCAGCTCTTCTACCTCTTCCTCACGTTTGGCCTGCTGTACGGGCTGGGTTCCGGCCTGGTCTTGAAGTCCATGCTGGACCTGTTGCTCAATCGCTTCCCAGACAACTGCGGCCGGGTCTCGTTCCTAGTCTTCACTGGATCTACCCTAGGTAGGTCGACCAATGAAAGCTGTCATGGGTCATCGTTTATTAGAATTCGTGACAAATTTCCTGTCTAGCTGAGGCCATTGACAGATTGACTCAAAGTCAATTGAAGGTAATAAGGGGTGTTTTTGAAACCCTGGGCGTAGTAGTAACCAGCTTCCGCTTTCAAGAAATGTTTTGGCCCTTGTCTTGGAAGGCTTCGGCTCAATATGGGTCCCTGTTCGTTTCAGGATCATAGAGTCCTACAATATTTAGGTTATTATAACCCCTGATCATTGGGACTGTGAAACATTCCAAAGACAATCTCAGCTCCCTGGGGAGTATACACCTTGATGATGCCATTTCGGCACAAAGCAGGTAAAATCAATCACAATAACCATCTCTGCCCTCACAGGTACCCAATTTACTCCTGGGTGGGGAGAAGCAATGAGTGGCAAAGGCATTACCCAAGGGCATATGCACCGTAACCCCAGGCTGGACTTGAACCCACGACCTTCAGAATTACTCGCAGACTATGAGTTAAATGTTCCTAGACCACAAGGTCACACCATTTGATTTAATAAGACATTCTCTGTACACTAATCTCATTTCAAGGCCGATATTTTTTTATGCTTATTTACATGAAGTTTCCTTTACCTTTTATCCATTCAAGGTAATTTTGCCTGGACGCCAATCACCACGATATTCATCGATCTGTGGGGCTGGCGCAACTGCCTTCGAGTCACCGGAGCAATCATGCTCCTTGTTTGCATCCCTGCCACCTTTCTCATGGGCGTGTTAACCACGCCCTCTCACCCGGACGATGCCAAAAGTTCCCAAGATGCCAAGAAGCCTGATGATGCGATGCCGGATACAGCATCTGACAAAAAGAAAGCCAAGAAGATAAGAGACAAGAAGGAGGAAATCAAATGGGAGGGGCCAAAGCAGAAGCGCATGGTGTGGATGCCAGAGGCGTGGCTGTTTGGCCTGGCCAATCTAGTACCCTTCATCAGCATGGGGTTTTATAACGTCAATCTTGTAAGTTGTTTGCAGGTGTCTGGCTATAGACCGCTTGCAGACGCGATCGATAATTGACGCGCGAAGGTGCACGACGCCATGTTATGGGACAAATGTGCATGGATAAATATACGCCTGTCCCACAACATGGCTTCGCGCGCCTTCGCGCGTCGATTATCGAACGCATCTGCAAGCGGTCTATTGCATGATGCCATGAAAACAATAATAGATCTCTCTCAAATGACGTCACTGCCTATACAGATTGCCACGTGCAGTGGCATTTTGGGAGTTGAGTTTTCATGACGAGCAATTGGCTGTGCAGTATTTCGAAGAAATTTTGAGCAACGTGCACGCGTGTTTAGAACATTTTGCACACTGTGCGTGCACGCACCTGTTGGTGTTGAATACACAGTTGTAATTTCCCTACGAAGATGGCTGTCTATGAGAAGGATCCATTCTTGTTTAGTTTTCTTTTAGTCCATACTCATAATGTATATATTTATGGGGTTATTCTCATTCCTTGATCTGATTTTGATCTGGATCTCAAAAGCCCAAAGAGACTGGTGCCATTTTGTGTCGCCTAAACAAAGTTTTGGGAGACACAGCCTCGACTCCAGGGGCGCGTGCTCGCTCCTTACACTAACCCCTGGCTGTGATGATGACATAAATGACACTGAATGGCTATTCACAGCGTGCTGCGCGGGCATTTCGAAGATTGCACGCCGGGCGCGCCCATAATGCGCTCGCGCTCGCGTGCTTAGCTTTGCACGTAACGTCACGTACGAAAAAAAAAATTATGATTCAAAAGTCGCGAAGCCTGTACGATATGGATTATGTCAGCCGCGTTTTTCGCTACAAAAACCCCTGTATCTGTGGTTGTAAAGGCACGAAAGGGGTACGCACATTAAATACAAATCTTTACTAATTAACACAACGTCCAAACGAGTGTGTTTGAAAGGATTGATTCTTCAAAATCACAACTTTTAACATTTTAAAGATGGCGTCGGCACGTAAAACGGATAAACTGCAGCCCTAATTATAATGCACCGTATTTTGGTATATTTAAATTACACAATTCCAGGGGTTACGATCACGCAAGGCATGATGGGAAACAACATGGCGCTGCAAGATTGTACCCACGGGGCACGAGGTTGTGGGAGATACTAACCATTCCTAAATTCTGTATGACAGTAGCCCCGTATTTATGTTAAAAGTTTTGGTTCAGTTTTTGAAAAAAATGTATAACTTCTACATGCCTTCATCAATTTTGATGAAACTTGGGTGGGAAGATGCAATTCTTCATTGGATTACTGAGGTCAAAGGTCATGTTCGGGTCACTAGAGGTCATTGTTCACATATGCTTCAAATGTTTCTTTGTCTACAGAATGTGATGGATTTTAATGTAACTTCGATGGAGGGATATTTGGGTGAACTACTGAAAATTCCAGTAGTTCATCACACCTCTTCCGAAAATTAGACGTCAAAGGTCATCTGAGGTCGTTGTTTGAAAATGCACGCAATTTGACTTCTTCTTCTTTTTTCAGAACACAAAACATAGGGATGGCTGCAGAAAAAGGCGACACATGTATGCGATCCATGGATCACTTGTTATCATAGCCATGCATTTTGGGAACGTGACGAAGTGACATGGAGCAAGTTCAATCATAGGCCAAGTTCTGCACACTAGCCCTAACCCCCTTGAGTGAACTACGAACCTTCCTCACTCTTGCAAAATTCAACACCACTCTACACCCAAACTGCTGGACTCTGATTATGGCGGCATGCCTCACCCCATGTAAAGCATAATCAGTTTACTAGTGATGTATTCACTCCAACAGATTCAAGCAAAACATGTAGTCTTTGCATTTTGAAGGGTTGGGGTGGTTAGGGCTAGTATGCTGCAATTGCAAGGGACTACTGCAGAACACATCTACTGAGAACGATCACATCGCTGTTTACCAAGAGTTGCACATACCAAACTGTACAGCGGGGTGCCAGTTGGTCCAGTGGTGACATGGTGACGTCGGACGATCATCCGACTGGAGATGTTTCCACTGTGCTATTACTGTGCAGGCGTAAATACAGGGATAGCAGTTTTCGGGCTATAGCCCGAATTCAGGCTTTTTCATGATTTGGAAAAACCAACGTTAGACATTTCATCCCTTCACAATGCTGGCAAAATAAATCCTTGTGTAGCACGCACAGACAAACAAAACTTGTGCAGAATTTGCCGTGCTAGCTCTCTTGACAAATCTATGAATTGTTGAGTTAGAGTAGACACACACGTGCAAGTGTAATGTGATGGTGTACCGCAGTTTTGTGTATTTCGCCATCTTTCACATGTCAAATTTGTCGGGCCCTATAGCAAACACCAACTGGCACCCCTGGTAAATGTACATACATGTAACAAACCTATCATTTATTGACATCGGTTCATGATTGAACTTGATCCGCATTTGTCCCCAATTTCCTAAACAGGTCCTGGAGGGCCAGAACATGAATCAGTGCCTCTCGCAGAACATGGGACCAAGGCTAATCTGACTGAATCAGAACCACATGCGCGGAGAAAAGCAGAGAACACCAATCGAAGATATAAAAAGGATCTGACTGGGTTTGAAACTAGCTGTTAAACTTTCCCTCTGTTTCTGACTTCCAGGTGAGCTACGCCATTAGTCTGAGCTACACTAGCAACCAAGGCTCAACGCTAGTCACCATTGCTGCAGCCGCCGAGGCCGGCTTCAAGCTGGTCTTTGCCATTTTTGTCGATAAATTGCCTTTCCGCAAAGTGCACTTGATGACGACGCTGTCGGTGGTCTCCACCCTGGTCACGCTGACATGTGCATTTGTTCCATCTTTCCCTATATTGTGTGTGATTGGAGTAGGTACGTAACGCACACGGGCACCCCCACTGAACTGGATTGAACCGGAACCGACCGGATTGCACTGGAACAAACCAGATCATATCATTCATATCAGACACACACACATACGGACAGACACTCTGCATTCTGGAATCTACCGAGATTTGGACAACAGTTTCAAGCACTTCTAGCATACTTTTACATGAACATGTGGATGGAGTAGTGATAGAGAAACAGCAGATTACCTTTGTGATGATTTTGAGATGTTTAGAGATGCATTTTGCGGACAATGAACTTCAAAATTGATTGGAAAAAGTCAACAAAACCACTGTATATGGTCAGTAGTAACTCACAGAGCATTACACCATCCACATTGATTTATTTCTTTCAAACATGACATTGGAATCTCTTTAAACAGAAAGATAATTCATAAATACCTGTTGGGGATTTCTGGCTGGCTTTTTTGTGTGTGGTAATTACGTTGAATTTGTTTCAAGTGTTAGGTGAAACCTTGAAAAATATACATAAATAAAATGAGCACACAAGTGCAACTTTTCTGGCAGTTATTTTTATGTTGAAAAACAAATGATAAAATGGAAGTTTGGTCTGGGTATCGAGAAAAAAAAAAGAAGGTATTTATGAATGGGAATAGAAAGATGATGGCTAGCTTTCAGAAGGGATTGTAACACTGGGCAGAAAGAAATATCCTTCAGCTGCGAACTCACCAAGAAAGATCTACGGAGCCGGTGCGAGCTGAATGTGTATGCAAAGTTGAGAGACGGGTGCAACATCAAACGGGTGTCAAAGATGTACATAAACTTGAAAATACTTAAGATGTAGCGTTAGTTTTGCCTGATCTGCTGTTCTTCATATTGCTGCAGTCACAGAAGTTTTCCAAACTTTGCTGTTGTACCTTGTGTTTGATACTTTGCATACACGTCAGCTCTGGCCTAGCGAGGACCACCTGCCTAATTGATTGGTTGTCGTTGCCCAGTGTTGCGTCGCTTCAGGCTAGCCCCATCTCGTACCTGCAGTCCTGCCCCCCCCCTCCTTTGCAGATGGTGACGAGCAGCCCGACTGCTTCTCCGAAACAAGACAGGCTAAAAGATCCGTCCCTGGGAACGCTGCAGTTTTCTGTGCCAGGGTTCCTGTGGTGAGAAAGTCCTGCGGAAAGTCCTATGGAAAAAGCTCACAATCGAAATAGTTCTGAAAAAAAAAATATTATAATAATTTGTGTGTGCACCTATAAACATCTATTGTCTCTTTTCTACCAGTAACCAGAAACCATCAATGCTTCAATGAGATTTGGATTTCCATAACGCATGTTGCTGTGTGACCCTGCGGTTTACAAAACCCAGTGAAATGTTGGCAACATCACAACAGACGACTAGTGAATAAAGTTGAAGTGTTGATTTTTTTATGGAATATTCCATGCAGCAATCATGGAATCTCTGTGAATTTCCTTAGGAAAACGAACGGAAGAAATAGGATTTTCTCCAGGAGAGCCACAGGAACCCTGTGTAAAATGCTTGTGATTTTCTTTCCTTCCCAGCCAAACGCCAGGCGCTTCGAGGCTTCTTAGGTTCCGGGTTTCCATGCTGATCCCAAAATCCGAAAGAAAGATTGCTCCGTTTCCCTGTAGCTCTTGTTTAAAGACAATCCAATGAACATGTTGACACATACTACTGTACACACATCTTGCTGTTTGTGTCAGGGGTTGTGACCTGGGGTGCTGCCTAGGGTGCGGATAGGGTTTTGACTGAATAGAGAAAGGGGTTCACAAAACCAGTGTGACTGCACTAGAACATTCTAAAATGTTGAAAAATTGGGGAAAAAACAATACTCATGCACACCCACATAAGTGTGGATTTGCCTGCAATCGGGGACCCCCTATTGTCCCTCTTTTGTTTGTAACTTTTTAGGAAGATCTCCCATATGTTTTGTACACGAATCCAAATTGGGGACTTCTCGGGAATTGGGGACCCTATTGTCCTCTATTGTTCAACGTCCCCTATTGAATGCAGAAACAAACTCCTGAACCCCCATGGCGCACCCCAGCATTACCCCTGTACAAACTGTAGTCCATTTTTTTTGACAGTCTTGCATTATTTTTTATTCACAGCCTCTACAACATGCATTTCTGTTACAATCATTTTACCTCAACAATTTCAAATTATATACGAGTGAACATTTCACTGAATTGAAAATGATCAACAGTTCGAGGTGATTCTGAATATGACTAACTGTGGAAACAAATGCTTTCCCTCATTTAGGCATTGGTTGCGTGCGGGCAACCATGAACGCCCTGCCGTTCCTACTTGGCATGGAGATATTTGGGGTGCGGAAGACCAGTGGATCCACCACCCTCGTCCTCTTCGCTGAAGGGTTGGGAACCATCACAAGTGCCTTTATCATTGGTGAGGTCCTACAAAGCTCTCCATATTTTTTTGAAGTCTGGTCTGTCTTACACATCTCGTCAAGATGAATACACACTTAGCATTGCTCAAGGGCAGTTTTCTAATGCACTTATTTTGGCCCCTCAGACACTCAAGCTTTTGTACAAATGTCTGTTTTGAGAAGCAATTGTGTTAAAGTGCGTTGCCCAGGAACACAATAACCGCTGTACATTTTGCCCCTTTACCCCGTCTGGTACTTCTTGACATACTCGCGCTCCCAGTGCCCAACAAAAATGGGTTGAATCAATCCCGATGGTGCACAAAAAATGATGAAAAAAAGTAGCCTTTCTGTACTGAAGCAACGTCAGAATAGTCAGAATCTTTTGGTCTGGGAACCCGAGTAAATGGGGCATCTATAGTGCATATCAATGGCGCCGTCAGACGGGTTAATCACAGGATTCCTAGCTATGCACGAGTGCAGCGGCATTAGACGGGCCAATCACAGGGCGCCTAGCTGTGCATCAGTACAGTCAGACTGCAATCCTATTGAATTTTGTTTTTCTCTGTATTATGTTGATGTGGTAATAGTGTTTAGAAGTGATATCCTCCTACGACGCATAGCCCCATAGTTCTAGGGGTATGAGTCAACCGCTGAAACGATCTGTTTAGAATATCAGTGCAGCAACTAACAACTCAAAACATTGTAATTGTTATTCCATTGCCTTTTCAGAATGCTTATAATTCACTTCCCGTGCGTAGCATGGGCTTTATTCCAGTTTATATAAACAAACGCCATTTCAATGCCTGACTTCTTATTACTTACTGACACATACCTACCTATCCACATGTATTGTGGTTACTCTACCTTGCCCGCCAGTATTAAAGGGATTGTACAACATTTGCTAACATCAACAAACAAAACTATCAAATTATTATGAAATACCTCACTGGACCGTTCGTGAACGACAGTCTGAAGCATCCTGTAAAATCATGGCACCTGGTGTGCTGACATTGTCAAGAAAAGTGGTATTTTTGTGTCAATTCCCAACGCTGGTTTGCAGTTAAAACACTAACCCCCGAAATCCATCCATTTCTGAAAATTACAGCAATTAAAAGCAAATGTATATGCCCTTTAAGGGGAATACAATGGACATGAAAATGACATTCTTTAGCTCTTGGTATGTATACAATGCTTCGCTGACCAAATCTTTAAAATCCTTTAAAATTTTTAAAATCCTTTAAATTTTTAAAAATCCTTTAAAATTTTTAAAATCCATCCTTATGCTTTATCCCCAGGTGGCACCTATGATGCCTTTGGCACCTATGACGTCGCCATCTACATCTGCACCGGCTGTTTCCTCCTGACGGCCCTCCTCTACTTCCTGATCCCGCTGATCTCCAAACTCCACAAGGTCATCGGGGTCAAAGTTCGCATCGATGAGGTCACGGGCGTGGCCGAGATAGTCCCCGTGGTGGAGGACGAGGAGTTCATGATTGAGGAGTTTGTGACTGTACTCTGAAAGAATGCAGTGTGGATGGATATGATTTGTTGACCTTTTGGGGTTGCGTGTCAAAAGGTTGGGCTCTGTGACATGAGCAGTAATGGTGAAGTGGAAGATGTATTGTCCACCATAGTGGAATTCAATTGTGTGAAATAAACAACGATGCCATACTCTGGTGACAAACGACTATTTGACGAAATTGTGACTTAAACTCGTCTGTGCAAAACCGACAAAACCTTTGTTTTGAAATGTCTAGGAGTAAGCCTTTGGTTACATGCACGAACTTGCAGCTTAAACAAAAACAACGAAAGATTTTCAATACCAAAAAAAAATGTTTACTTACATTTTTTTGAAATGTACTAAGCATTCCTGCAACTTTCTTGTGCTTTCACACTGGTGTGTGTATTGATAGTGATCATTTTGGAAGGTTTGTTTTGTAGTTTGTGCAGCCATTGTAGCCAGTTCATGTGCTGATCTCATTACATGCAAGGGCCAATGCAAAAAAAGGGTTTTTTTTTAAGTAGAATAACTTGTATTTATAAAAGGTTTATTTTTCACAGATGTGGAACACGGTATAGATATGACCAATTGTATGAATCGACTGAAAAAGGCTCAGTCATTATTTTGTCGAAAGCATTCTTGTATAAAGCTCATGTACTGATGCATTTATGATGCTAAATGTGTAAGGACCAGATTCCTATTACAGATGTATTGTTCTTTGTTTTGGTTTGAATAGTTAATTATTAATTATTCAAGTGATCACAATGACTACAGGTTTATGTCAGCATATTTTTTAAAGAAATTGCTATCATGAAAATAGAGAAATTATTACATGTATTAAAAAAAAGAGATAAATTGCTCTTTAGAGAGGACTAACAAATATTTAAAGTTGATTTAAAAACTTTAAAGAATGATGACAAACGATGAAAAAAAATGCGGTTTTGAAGCATTTATATCGCAAAAGAAAACTATTGACAACGGAGATAAAATAATAATATATTTAAAACAAATCTGATAGCAAGAAGTTATTAACAAAGTAATATAAAGGCCATATAGACAAAGTATTGAGTACCAATAAACAAATTTCTTTATTAACACTGTCCTTTGTTCAGTCAAAATGTTCAGAATGCGATGTACATGTCGTGCACGACTGAAAGATGAGTGTATTTTAAAAGAAGAAAATATGTCAAGAACTATTGTGAGAAAATTGTGAGAACAGTAAAGTTTAAATTTATTATGGATAGCAAGTTCTAAGAGGAATATAAAGGATATGTAATTTTGCAGTAAAAAAAAGTGTTGGGATTAAATGAGGTTTTCTGTTTCAAATGAGCATGCCTTTTGTAAAAGAGATTGAAATGTATGTGTTACTTTGTGAGATGTTTTGGGTTTACTTAAATAGCTTTGTGCGCATGTGTAGAATAATGCAAGTAGGCTAGATAACAGTATGTTTCAAGAAGTAATGCGTTAAAAAGAAGAATTTTTTTTGTGTATTATTGATTTATGAAAGTGTAAAGCTGAAATGGAAGGCGTGAATGTTGAATGGTGGTAGATGAAAATAAAAAAACAAATAATATTAATAAAAGCACAATTGGGAACTATTTATCTCCTTGATTCTTTTATGTCATTCATGATTATAAGTTATTTGCCTTATTGCATGTAGTCCTATTTGCAAAGACATTTGTACATGTTTTGTTCATGAGGTAAGCTATGCACCTTGCAAGTATTAAACGCCGCTGTATTTTCATTTCAGCATTGTTTTCTGGAGAAATGTATAAAGGAAGCTCAAGTATAACGTGTACATGTCAGAGCTGTCCTGTGCAATTCCACTTTCTGTGAATAAAATGCTAACATTGCCTTATAAGATTGCTGAGAATTGTTTTCGCTTTATTTTTTCCAGTGTTGTGTATTAATTGCTACATACATGAAGCCAGCAAAAGCCAGTCTTACTCTTTTTCAGCATCTTCCGGATGTTATAATTATTAAATTTTTTCTTAATTCGTCACCATTTTGCCGTCGGTTCCTAAATCTCCCTGAACTGAGTGGAGCTAAGTACATTTATATCTTCCCCTACACAATTATAGAAACATTTCCAAAGCATAACAAAATTGGGGTTAAACTATTCAGGGTAACCTTGAGAAACCGTCTGCAAGTTATTTTGCCTCACTCTTAAATAATATCAATTCTGTTAAAAAAAAAATTCAATTAAAATATAGCTATAACCGAGTCTGTGGTCGTGTAGGCCCAAATACAAGTACACTGGACATTGTACTTGTAATAACTTGCATCATGTGTTCCACATGTGCTTATGAAGTTGGGGCTGCCAATGTTCTGCTGCCCATATTGGAATCTGACAAACCTATGGCATTCAAGTCTGTGTTGACTAATTATTGTTCCCACTTGGGCATCAGTAATTGGGTCAAGGGTCATTTAAGAGCTTAAAATCATATTTCCCCAAAGAAAACAAATTGGTCAATTTGGGTGTGTGTGTGTTCATGGCAATCATATAAACGTTTTTGAGTAAAACATTTGGTGGTAAACTAACCATATAAATGTTTTTGAGTAAAACATTTGGTGGTTAACTAAAATGTCAGGGTTGGGCCTTTTTCATGTCAGTTCTTACTGCACTATTTATAATGTCCCCAAATACACTCCGTCTCTCTGACAAAATGAATCTACAAACATGAATAAATTATTACACATTTTTTTTATTCAGTGATATCAAAATAGTAAAACATTACAGAGGGACAAGTTTGGACTATACAACACAGTAGACACATGTAAGACATCTTGAAAACCACTGGAATTAAAATGAGCCTTGGAAACAAATTTGGAAAAGCTGCAACTCCCTTGGCTGTAAGTAAGCCTTTTCCCTATTTCAACTGCGCTATTTCAATGATTGGATTTCGAGATATAAACAGTATGCCACACGCCTGCAAAATCATAGCTGGGTTCCAACGAAATCAATTGATTGTTTTCAACGGCACCACAGTTTATGATGTTTTGTATGCTCCAACTTTTGTGCGAACAAAAGTTTTCATCTTTTTTTTTAACAAGATGAAGAATTGCAAAGTGCGGATTCGGTGACCACATCTCCCATAGACTTGTGTGCATTCATCTGCTTTGTTTGTCTCTCGTGAAAATGGTCGTCAAACAGATCCCGCGCATGTGCGATTGGAATGGTGAATTGGCTTATTTACAGATTAACATTTTGCTTCCATTATCTAATTTGGCCTTTCTTTTGAACGACAGTGATTTTTAAAGAGTTTAAACTATTTTCAGAATAGACATGTACAAGGAAAAAAAATAATTTGCAGCCACATCTTAGTGGTGGGACTGGGAGAAATTGAAGATTTCAAAATCTGGTCAATTTTTTTAAACCGGATAACAGTGTTCTGATTTCACCGGAAGTAAATTCCCATTCAGCTCACATTCATGCCAAAACAGTCACGAGTGAGGTGCCACATGCAATGCGCTCCAGATCTGTAACGGTGAAAAATGGGTGGGAACTCTCAGACCAGTCAAATTAGCCGGCCATTCATGAATCAAGAAGACTGCTAGCGAGTAAATGCAGTTACAATCAGAGACCATGGAGCAAATTGAGAGATATTCCAGTTCTTTTCTTTAGCCTGTGTCACAAAAACGGAAGGCTTATTTTTTTAAGTTTAGTTTCGAATATTCCGTTTTCAGAATCCTACCTGAAGAGTGGAATTGAAACTGAATTTTTAAAAATCTGGATGTTTATCCCACCACTGCTTTATACCGGTACACTGACATTTTACCGTCACCATTTTTGGAAAGGATTGATTGGCCAAAGACGTAAAACTTTTTCTTTTTAATAAAATAAACAAAGACTGTGTAAACGTGTAGATATACAGAAAAAAATGAGGCACTTTGGTACAAGAATTCTACAATCAATTAATCCATCTACATGTATATCCTGTGAGTTTATAAAAAATGTTGATTTCTTTTTGCACCAAGCGAAACTTATTGCATAGTTTAGTTTGAACCGGTTAAGAATAGATTTACAAACATCCACTATTAAGGACATGGCCTGGCCCTCAGCCTGTCTCTGATGACCCACTGGAGTACATGACTCTAGTAAATGCAGTAGTTACAAGACCAGCCGCCAACTTCAGATGAACCTGCCAACGAGAGAATTTCTACATCTATCGGGCTTACGATATGAAATAGTTTTCCATCTAAAGCGTGGACTCCATCAGATCCTTGATCAGTTGCCATGACGACAAACAACAGCTTCTATCCCTTTTGGATTCTAAGAGCAAAATTTGGAATTAAATCATTGATGTTTTTCCCTCCTTAATATTCTTAATGCAGAACATTACATTTCCAGAGGGTACTGCATTATTCAGAAGATCGCATAACTGGCCATTCTCATTCCAGTAGGTATCCAGTAAGAGGGTATCCAGTGTGAATTTAATTTTAAAAACCTGTATACCTTTATGAGTCACGAGCCAGAATGATGGTGTGTTGCCCTCCCCCTGAGGAGGTAAGAGCCTTGCGGTTTTCTAGTTGTTTGCTGACTACTTTTACCGGCGATAGTTCGTCATCTTCTTCACCGGTACCCAGTTGAAGACTGCTCCCCATCCCCCAGGTATACACATCGCCTGAATGGCACAGAGAGATAAGAAAAATGTGCAAAGTCAGGCTGGTCTGTTGGCAAATCCCAGAAAGTCTGTCGGAGTTCGAATATGTCACTTTTGATTTTACAGGTGCTTATCCTATTAGCACCTGTACTACACTGTATTACATTCAGTGGCTTAACCCGAACAGTCCTGAATCCTCCAATTTCAATATGATTTTGCACACCTCTAGGGAGTTAGGGTTAGAAAAGTCTGAGGCGACGAGTCAGGGGGATTGAGGGGGTGATGACCATTATAGCAAAATCCTAAAACTGCCCGGCCATGGAAATTCGCCAAGTGGGGGAGCTGCTGGGCACCGTTCGACAATAGGGGGCGCTGTTCATGGTACAAATATAGATGGGATACAAACTTACGTGCTCCAAACATAGACACAGTGCATTGAAAGCTTTTTATAAACTGTTTGTTCTTCATTTTTCAAACTATTTAATAACTGTGGACTGTTGGATAGTTACGAAATAACCTCAAAATCGACAATTTTTTCTCACCACAAAAATCTTGGGGTGGGGAATGAATACCCCCCCCCCCCTCAAAAAGGTTTTTTTGGGGGACCTTATGGGTTTAATAATTAAATATCCAGTGGTAATCGATATGAATTGGTCGCAGTGTTTCTCACCTTTCTTAGTGGAACACACGGTCATGCTGGAGCCGCATCCAATGGATTCAACTTCTTCAGCATCCAGCGTCGTGACTTGTGCCGGCTTGTAGCTCTCCTTGCACCCGTCCCCTAGACCCAGCCTGCCGTAGTCTGTACGACCTATGGAGTACACCTTACCTAATGACAAGGAATTCAAAAGAAAACATTCTGTTTGCGGAACATTGTAGAGTTGAGGGACTGTCAGGTTAGCCGTATACTATAAAAAAAAGTCGGGCGTGCTAACAATAAGCCATTTGCGAATTAAATATGAATAACATCTGGTTCACTGACTGGCTCAAACGCGGCTGGTGAAATATTGTTCAATTACACGATCTACAAATGGACGCGGAACGTGCAAAATCTGAGACAAATAAAACTTAGTGTACAAAAACTCTATAGGGTTGTCTAAAGGGGCGTGGCTAACTCGCAAACGGCGATAGGTCAAGCATATCTATGAACCTTTCGTGTCCAGTATAGCAGTATGGTGGTCTCCTCCCCGAATGTCCTTGACCGTTAGATGGGATAAAGTCTGGATCTGTTCAGGCATAAATCGAGACTTGGTGTCCTCCAGACCTGCAACCCACAAAAACACAAAAAATAATTTGCTACAAACTTATACAACAAAAATATTGAGAGGCTATGACTGAGGAGGCAAGTTTAATTTTTAAGGATTTCAAAAGCGAAGCTCCTAGCATCGGGCGCTGCCATTTTGACAACAGTATCTTGATGACATTGTCATTCCTTTTGGGTCTGGAGAGTTCAGGTGTCCTGGCTAACATCCAAGTTAATATTAACATGAGTGAAATGCACTCCAAGACTAGATAACAAAAAGTGATCACACTGATTGCCGCCATCTTATTACCTAGCTGATGATAGTTGTTCAGACCCCAGCCGTAGATTCCACCGCCCTTCATACTGGCAAACGTGCCGTAGGCCGTACACCAGACATTGTCAAACAGCACCTTGCCGTGACCCCGTATTCTCCGGCAGTACACGAGGGCAGGCTCATGCAAAATACCTGTCGAGTTGAGAATAATGAAACGAAAGGAAATCAAAAGACTGAGAATCAAAAGATCCTGCGTACTCATGTTCGAATCTCACCAGGTTAAAAGACCCGAGTTTTGCTCACAATAATATGGTCAACGGTCAGCAATAGTGTAATGTGGCGTGGCAGGTAACAGGCCTCTTTTGTGGCATGAGGTGCCTGTCCTACGTAATTGCTCTTTAACGAAAGTAAAGCTTTTACCTCTGGTATCCCAGGAATGAAAACAAAAACCTGAAAATATGTCTACCCGCATGGATGAGATACCAATCCATCGCAGGTTACTCCACTGGCTAATGCCGTATCCATTTTACTCCTGGGCGGACAGAAGCAAGTGGGGGTAAAGTGGCTTTCCCAAGGACACAATTCTTCACCAGCAGCTGGATTCGAACCCCTGATCCTCTGATCTGTAAGTCACAAACCCTAACCACTAGGCCACACTTCCCTAAACAAAAGCTTTAAGAGTGAGTCTCAATGAAATCAGAGGGCTTTAACTGAATTTCATGTTAAACAAAATACAAAATACACCCCCCCCCCCCAAAAAAAAATCCTTACCAGTTCCTTTCCTTCCCCCTCTAACAGCAAAGATTTCCGCTATCCTTCCAAGTTGCCCCTGCTCCCCGGAACCCAGCGAGTAGATCTCCCCTTCCTCAGTCAACATGCACAGGTGATCGTTCCCTGATGAGATCTTGACGACAGTTTTCTTGAGAAGGATCTGGACTGGCAGTTTCTCCATACCCTCTGACGTCAGCCCGAAGGGTCCGTTGCAATCCTTAAAAAAAAAGTAAGGTTTACATAACCTCAGCATACTGCGCATAATTTTTTAGATGCGACATGAAGTATGTGATGCATAAGCCTGATGATCAGGGGTCATAGAACTACATAATCAAAATCCTTCAGGCAACCCTTTAGAGAACTTCTTACTCTGAACGTTCCCCACATGTAGACCTTGCCCTCTTGCGTCAGCGCGGCCGTGTGCGAGTCCCCGCAGCTGACCTGAACGACCTTCTCGGCAAGGTCGACCTTGAAGGGGGTGAACTCTGACCCTTCCTCGTTGGTGTCGTGACCTAGGGTTCCTTCGTCGTTGCAGCCGAAAGTGTAGATCTGTGTAACATGTGACGAGTGATATCGATTAACTCATCTGAACTTATTAATTTGGCATTCGGTCATGGGATCCTTCTTAAAATTGAAAGCTGCATTATGGAGGTATAGGGTAAGGCCCAAAAAAAAAAAAATTGTCGGTCTCTGGTCAGCGGGCACGTTGATTTTTATCAGTCTTCTTTTTTTTTTCAAATTTTCCGCAGTAGCTACAACAGCGATCTCTATAGACCATTTTCATGTTGCAGCCATCTTGATTATCTCCCATTCAAATCAACGTAACCAAAGCAAGGCTGGAAGGAAAAATGGTCTGGTTCCTTTTTGTACAAAAACATTATCATTCAGTACTATTATTGGATACAGGGAACATGACTAAAATGGTGGCAGCATGATAAAGATCTATTGCCGCACCACCTCAAGTTTTTGTACCAAGGAGCACCAAGGAATGGGGAAATTGCACAAAGGCAAATGATGGAGGGCACCAAGGCAAATGATGGAGGACACTAACGTATATGAGGACACAAAAAAGCAAAATAGCACCCACCTTGTCTGTTCAATCCAAGCTTGAAAAAAAAAAAAAAAAAAAATGTTTGGCTGAATCGATTCCGGAACTTTGGTCTGACCAGAGACCGACTATTTTTTTTTGGCCTAAAAAACGAACTGCAAAATTGATAGCTTACCTCACCAGCGCTGGTCAAGCATACCGTGTGCATCCCTCCAGCTATGGCCTCCACCACCCTGCCCTTAGCACCCTCAGGGAGGGGAACAAGTGTGGGTTTCTTCCTCTCGTACACCTCTTCTCCTAACCCTAGCTGACCCACATCCCCCTGGCCAAGGGCAAAGACGTGTCCCTCCTGGGTTCTGTGGGAAGGGTGTGTGAGAGAAGGGGCTGTGGAAACAAAAAAGGAGTTGAATATACAATCAGAACAATCATTGATTTTCTTGTTTATTAACTGAAAAGGGTAAAGTTGTAATGATTAGTCATTTTATTATACTGAGTAGATCTTTCATACCCTTAGATTTCTTTGGAGGTGTAGGTTCGCCATTTGCCTCCGTTTGTTTCTTGTCATTCTTCACTGCAAGCTTCCTCTTTGGTGGCATGATTGTTGGATTTGATGGTTGTTGGACTTATTCGTGTTTCTCAATCAGGCTGTCTAAAAATAGTAGGGGGGAGGGGATAAATATGAATTCTTACATGAACGAAATTCAGCACTTTAACAAAAACATGCATAACAAAGAAGTAACAATGCAGAGAGCCATTTGGTTGATAGTCTGGTTCTAGCCCCATAAATGTGGCTTAAATACTGGACTTCCTCCGTATTAGTAAGCCTCACAACCGGTAGGCCTTTACCAAAATGTGTGGAAAGGTCCATTGCTAGGGAAGCAGAACATTAAATAAAAATCGGAACTACTTTGTCACGTTATAATCACCAAAACCAATAAATGCAGCAAAAAAGTTGAATTCCGTACCTTCAGATATCTAGTTATCCAGTAATTTCTAGATGACAATATAGAAACAAATAGCGTCTATACTCCAGACGGTTCCATATCAATAGTGTCAAGATACGATGCGCAAGTCTAAACTTGCGCACGGTGCATCCAAGTTTTAAACTTGCGAAAAAAGTTCTGAAGCCTGCACATTGCTCTGCACAATTTAAATTTGCGTGCGCACGTTACAATTTGCGCAGAGGCGATTGCAAATTGGCAACCTTGCACAAATTTGGCGGTTCTTTTTCTCCAGAAATCTGCCATGATAATATATCATCTTGCACTCTCCTGAATAGTTTTGGGCATGGAGGAAGTATTTTTAATATTTGGGTTGATTATTTCGTCATTTTCTTTTGGGGGGGGGGGGGGTTGCCTCCGGATTGGCATTTTTGTGTTTGTGTTTTTTTTGCCATGATATAGGGGCCTAGCTGTGTAATAAAGAACTATACAGCTCTATGGTTTGGCATAGTTTTTTTCCCCCTGTTTGCGACCAAGAAAGACAATATAGGCCTACAATGTTAATTTTGAGTCGCAAAACTCAAGAAAAAACTCGAAGTTGACTCCCGCCATATTAAGGCCATGACAAATGAGGTATGCAGCTTCGCACCTCGCTCGGCAATTCCGCACCTCACTCAGCTGTTAAATTTGCAGAACAGAAATTGAGAGCATACAACAAGTTTTAAACTTGTGCGCAAGTTTAAACAAGCACAAATTGTGCTCAACAATAGCACTGGAAAATGGCATTACAGCTACCATAAGTGGTATAACCGATACAGTAACCACTGCTTTAATCATTAATGTTAAAATTTAAGAAATAATGTCATTTTTCCTCAACTTTTTTTAGAACATGTTATTGTTAACAAAAATAACAGGTTTAATAAAGTCAAACTTAAACAGTCGGGTGTCGGACGCTTCGCCCCATTTCCACGTCGCCCCATGTCACTTCGCCCCTAACCACTTCGCCCCATCCCCGCTTCGCCCCATCCCCGCTTTGCCCCATCCCCTGCTTCGCCCCATCCCCGCTTCGCCCCATCCCCGCTTCGCCCCATCCCCGCTTCGCCCCATGTAGATTGGTTCCTCCAAGAGTGAAATTAGGATGTCAAAGGTATTGTCGTTCTCAGATATAAAGTGGGAGACGAGTTGGTATAGCCGGTTTGGGAACAAAGTTGGATCTTTTACTTCAAGCTTTTTTTCTCGGTAGGGGATCGAGAGTGATAGCTTGAGAGGTTGGTTATGAATTGTTTATTCGGTCAATGTTGGTGCATGGAGGACTTCCTCCATGGTTGGTGGGCTAATTCTTTCCGTTGGTTAGCAATTAGTGAATCTGTTGGAATTGTTTTTAAGCCAATAAAATAGATGAGATTTTTTTACATGTAACAGCTGGGGCGAAGTGGGGATGGGGCGAAGTGGGGATGGGGAGAAGTGGGGATGGGGTGAAGTGGGGATGGGGCGAAGTGTAGCCCGACTGCGTCTGGCCGTACAGTACTATCGCAAGCTCTGTAGTACGGCCAGACGCCCGATGCTTCCACAGAGACTGAATTTTTTGGGCCGCCGATGTAGCGATTTTGCTACATCTTTCGATCGCGATTATCTTTTCATCCAGGACACAAATTTCCAAAGTTAAGGTTCGTAGTCGTAGAGCAACTCATACCTTTTCGAAAAAATGTTCTTTGGTCTCAATATTTCCATCCATCTGGCCACAAGACGAATTTCAGTCATCAGATTCCACAAATATCGTCCCCCATGCGATCCCCCATGCGATTTCAAAATGGCAGCCGCGCTGTAATGTATGCATTATGCGAGCGCGCTTGGGCAAGTAATGAATATGCATTATTTAGTTCATGACCTCGTGTTTTTGTATGGCCAGCCGCGCTGAGTGTCCGACAAACGTCATAAACTATGATGCATATTCATTATCTTGCCCAAGCGCGCTCGCATAATGCATACATTACAGCGCGGCCGCCATTTTGAAATCGCATGGGGGATCGCATGGGGGACGATATTTGTGGAATCTGATGACTGAAATTCGTCTTGTGGCCAGATGGATGAAAATATTGAGACCAAAGAACGTTTTTTTCAAAAAGGTATGAGTTGCTCTACGACTACGAACCTTAACTTTGGAAATTTGTGTCCTGGATGAAAAGATAATCGCGATCGAAAGATGTAGCAAAATCGCTACATCGGCGGCCCAAAAAATTCAGTCTCTGTGGAAGCATCGGGCGTCTGGCCGTACTACAGAGCTTGCGATAGTACTGTACGGCCAGACGCAGTCGGGCTAGGGCGAAGTGGTAATGGGGCGAAGTGGGAATGGGGCGAAGTGGGGATGGGGCGATGTGGGGATGGGGCGAAGTGGGAATGGGGCGAAGTGGTTAGGGGCGAAGTGACGTGGGGCGAGGTGGAAATGGGGCGAAGTGTCCGACATTCAAACAGTCAATAAGTCATGACAGTGGCATGGCCGGCATCAGTGATCAGGATACTGCAATCAGTGCAATGTAAGCACAAACTGTAACAAAACTGTCCTACAAATAGTACAATGTAATGCTGTGCTGGGTGCTGGCATTACGCGCACACTCACTGCGCCACCCCGTGCCGTAGCCCCATAATGTGGCCAGTTTACTGGACTGCCTCCGTAAACATAGGCCACACAGCCACCATCTTGGAAACTGACTCGACGAAATTTAAAAAAAAAAATTCGGTGATTTCCACATTGCGACTTCAAACCCAGTTCATTTATGCTTTAAAAATACACTTACCCTCTTAATAACAAAATTAGAACCTGCTGCCAGTGTCAGTTGCCCAGCTGCTGCATAATTTACGACATTTTCTGGACCATTCTAGGCCACTTGGTCCAACCGTGGAGCTATCTCCATGGTCCAACTGAACAATGCCCTCGCGCAGATCGTTAACCTGTCAATCACGCGTGCAGGACGCACGCCGCAGGCCCAGTGGTAGTCCGGTTCCAAGACCAAAAGATTCTGACTATTCCTAGGATGGAATAGTCAGAATCTTTTGGTCTGGGAACTGGACTACCACTGGGCCTGCGGCGTGCGTCCTGCACGCGTGATTGACAGGTGAACGATCTGCGCGAGGGCATTGTTCAGTTGGACCATGGAGATAGCTCCACGGTTGGACCAAGTTGCCAAGAATGGTCCAGAAAATGTCGTAAATTACGCAGCAGCTGGGCAACTGACACTGGCAGCAGGTTCTAATTTTGTTATTAAGAGGGTAAGTGTATTTTTAAAGCATAAATGAACTGGGTTTGAAGTCGCAATGTGGAAATCACCAAATTTTTTTTTAAATTTCGTCGAGTCAGTTTCCAAGATGGTGGCTGTGTGGCCTATGTTTACGGAGGCAGTCCAGTAAACTGGCCACATTATGGGGCTACCCGTGCCGCTGCGCCGGGCCACTCGCGAGCTCTGCACAAAAATTCCGCCTCGCAAATGCTGAATAGATACTTGATACAGTTTACACGGAGTTACACACACGTAAAACGCTCAACAAAACGTCTCAATAAAACCCAACATAATCTGCTTGAAGTACAACAATGCAAACAATTAGTCTTTACCACTACATACTATTAAACCAACAGTACATTGAACTAGAGAATTAAAATTCACAAATTTAGTTACCAAAATTTCAAGTTCCTGTCTTCGCATTTGCCGGGTAACCTTTTCACGTGCGTCAGAAAGGTCACCCCTACTCAATAATGTAAACAGTATTATACAATTTTATATTCAAAAATAATATTAAAACAATAAAATACAGGATTTTTAAATGTGTTGCTTATAACAAAATATTTAAATTATTGATTAAAATTGTTCACTTTATTTTAAAGAAGTAATATTACTCATCTTAAAAGAGATTATTTTAACGAGCCCAATTATATTTTGCACCGCAAAAGCGGTACCTAAAAGGAGATTTTAAGCCCAATAAAATTGCGACGTATTCTCTTAAATCGTAAATCTGAAAAGAAACTGGAAAGCGAACAAATATGGACTAATAGGCTTAATGTTTTCCCTGAATTTGTTATTTTTCGAAAGAAGTTGAACACTCATAACAAAACTTGAATTTAATGTGTCCTGCTGGATACCGTCGACTTCACTCTTTACAAATGTAGGAGAAACGAAGCCTGACACGCAACGCTCATTTCGTCCAGCCAAATCTAACTAAATCCAGCTTTCACCCCGTGAAAACAGGAGTCATTTGACCGCGGTCGCAAAGTGCTGAATCTAGAGACTCCAAAATGGGCGAAAGATACAACATCCACAGCCAGCTGGAGCATCTCCAGTCCAAATACATCGGCACCGGTCACGCGGACACGACGAAGTGGGAATGGATGGTGAACCAGCACCGGGATTCCATCTGCAGCTACCTCGGCCACTACGACATGCTGAACTACTTCGGCGTGGTGGAGAACGAGAGCAAGGCGCGGGTCAGGTTCAACCTGCTGGAGAAGATGCTTCAGCCCTGCGGACCACCGACGGAGAAACCCGCTGACGAACAATGATGAACTCAAAAAACAATGAAACAATAAACATTTTGTGGGACATTTTGTTTTGCTGCACAAAATGATATTGTGTTTGCCACTTGATCATGTTGATCATGTTGATAAATTGCAGACTTGAATTTTTAACCAAGTCATCACCATGGCCATGATGGCTGGTGTGCAAGTCGGCTAAAAGGGACTCGGGAGATTTATGACTTTCCAAAGGACCTTTTCTGGCATTGAGCTACACAATCGTGCTTGTGTGTCATGCATACCTTTCTTCAAACTCCGTATACGTCATTTTCTAACCAATAATAACTTGGAGCAGATATGATGTAATTAGGGGGCTGTGCATTTACATTCTGTTAATGTTGACAGAGAGTTGCACATGAAACCCTTTCATCAGCTGTTGATCTTCTCATCGTTGGAGCTCAGAGAGGTCTGGAGAAACCTTGAGAAGCAAGAGGAGACGGGAGGAGCTACAATTTCCAGCATCAAGATTGATGCTGGAAATGTGCATCTCACCTACATGTACACCGTACTGAACACACACAGCATGCCATATCCATCTGGCAGACTGCGGCATGACAAGTGAAATGGCGCTGCATCCCTATGTGGCTTTTGTCAAGGCTTCTCGGGACTTTTGACCGTCTCTTTTAATTTCCATGACCCTGATCATCTGGAGACTGTTCACTTTTTTTTCTTTTTTTTTAAAGTGTGTCATGTTGTCAAAAATAATCAATAGATTATAAAGTTGTGGCTTTGTCAGCGCAAGATATACTTCAAATTATTGAAAGTTAAATCTTTGTTATCCTTCTACTGCATAAATCAACATTGACTTTTGTCTTTCCCAATGTATAAGTAAAACACTCCCATGTACAAAATAAAGTGAAAGGTGCATTTTATTCAGCGTGTTTACACTGTCCAGTTTATATTCCGCAACTCTTCGAAGGTTCAATGAAGGCTTGCAACATAAACTAAAAAAGTCATGAAAAAAATCATACAGATGAATTCAGAATGCATTGCCCCACAAGCCCTTCTATGTCACTTAACATTATTTTAATCTTTTCTTAGTTGAAGTTTGATAATAAAAAGTGTTTGGAAATTGGAGCTGATCATTGGTCATCTTGTTTTTGTACACCATGATTCCTGTAGTCCCAGTTTTGCATTTTCCTCACAATACTCGACGCGTCAACACAGCTGGAATGGCACTAAGTTTCCAAATATTTTATGTAAAATTATGTACACGTACAAACCTCTTGCATTTACAAAGTCACTATCCTATTATTAAGACCCCCCCCCCCCCTAATTAGCTAGTCCACCAGCTGTCCCTATTTTTGGCCGCTATGCACAACCGTCGTGTACCTCTGAATTTATCAATATTGTTGTGGTCACCTCAAATTAAAAACAAGTAATACTAAAATAGGTAAATTGAGTGTAAATAAAGAGTTTAAAACAACGACACGCATTTCTCAAGCTGTCCAATTTTATTAGTCACTTCATGGCACTACACTTCCAAGTTTTCATGAACGGAGATAAATAATGTGTTGTTTTCTAATGCATGTAATTGTGAATGGCTTGTAGACAAGACCAGAAGGAAGCTATGTTCAGTTATGGCGGAACAACTTCAGCCCAATCCATCTCAGTAGTCCAAAGATGGCAGTGACTGGAACAAGAGTCAGCGGCACGAGTAACAGATAGTAGCACAGGGTGCCTTCCTCAAGACATTCCTGTGACAAGTCTCTGTCTTGAAAGAAGAAAACGTAAGCGATTCCCAGAATGCTGGCAAGGCCCATGGCCGTACAGATGTAAGTTCCCATCATCGATGTCATCCTTGTAGGAGGTTCTCCTTCAGTCTTCAACTTCTAGCTTCAAGAGAAAATCCTGAACACTTGAATCACACCACAACCTCCATCTTGCACTTAAAGAAGAGAAATCACCGCTGCTTCCTTGATCCAATCAAACTGAGGTCTTGTGTGCTTAAAGTTAGTTCTTAGGAAAAAGAAATGTGTCTGCTTGTTACCAAGGAGATTTCAGGTTTCCATGGAATCTGTACATCATTTAAGTACAATTGAAGACATCACATCACCTGATGATCACAGCTGGTCACATGATTAATTTCAGTTTTCACCTTGAAGTAAAGAGAATAAAAATACAAATATCACAAAATAAGCACTTGGATACAATGTCGTCAGTAGATCAAAACTTGTTTAAGTGTATTTTTTAATGATAAAACGAGCATTCATTCATGGACGACTGAACTGTGTCTGTCAAGGAAACTGAAATCGAAGCACGAAAAATACAATTACAATTTCCGGTTTTTCCGACCAATCGTCGAAAATTTCAACCACAAAGATGACTGTCCGCCTTGTATGTGTCTGAGGTTTAACTTCAGGCCGAAGTCAGTAGAATTTCAAAGGTAGTCAATCCTTTTTGTCTCAAGTAATTCCATAAGAAGTGAACTCAGAGAGCAGCACATGTTTTTAGGAAGTTTCAAAACAACGGCTACCTGTCGAAACGAAGCGCACGCACAGGTGTGCTTTAGCAGTCTGGGTTTCAGACTTGGCCTTCATGCCGCTGGAAACTAAAGAGGGCGCTGTATCAGTTCAGCAGTTAATTCTATCTTGGGGATAATGTGTATAAATAGTGCACTCGGACAGCGCATCAGCCTTGTTCATTTCTAATATTCTTGAAGAATATATACATGTATTTTGAGAGTTAACTTAATTCACACGACAAACAGGAGGTATTTAAAAAGAGAAAAAAAATTAACCGTTTTGTTTCAGAGTATATTATTACATGACCATCTGCGCATTAACAGCAACGAATAATATTTTAGATGATCGCTCATGCTGTATCGCAAGTTGACAAACAATTTTTCGCGTTTAAAAAAAAATCGATAATTTCCAGTCAGGTTTCAGACATTACAGCACAACAGGTACGATACATGCAACCTGTGTCCAGCCAAGTCACTATAACGTGGCGCTTTAATCCTTCAGTTTCCGATACGATCAATCGATCCATAATGGTCAAAGACCCCTCATCAACGGCGGCAGCTCCACACGTACACACCGTCCCCGGTAGAAAGTCCCGCTATGGATCATGGGGCTTTACACCCAGCGCCCGCTCAACTCTAGTCGCGCTGCCAAAGACCTACCCGGATCCGGCGGTTGCAGCAGCTGCAGCAGGCCGAAAAATGCGCCTCGGTGGACGGGGAGCCATGGGTCGCTATTGCCGCTTGCTTGTCGCACTGATCGTCTGCAGCACCGTGGTGTCCATGATTCTGCTGTCCAGGTTATGGGGGCTTGGATCTGGTGTGTCCGGTGGATGTAAGTTATTACGGAAACTGTTCTTGAGCAGCTGTTTCTACCATAAGCCATAAAGCTCACTGTATGCACTGCACGCCTGTACTTGTCCTGCTTCAAATTTCGTGCGGGACATGTGCAATCAATTAAAATGGGTGTACATTTCATATTTGAAATGAAGAAGCATGGAAACTCAACTTAAAACATAGTCCTTACTCAAAAATTGCGGCACGAACACAATGACAAAACGTTGACTTCCTAAAAAAGAAATGTTTTTTTTTTCGCGGGACCGAAAACTTGCACGTGCCATGTGTACAGGCAAACCTCTGATTAGTCATGGGATCATGTAGTGTGCACGCGCGGGGTCAGCTACTTCTTGCTTAATACGCCTGCAGTGAGTAGCTCTGTCCAAGATGTCATGAAGCCTCAAAGTCTATACAGCTAGTACTATACGATTTTAGGTTTTGCATGGTGGAGTATCAGTATCGGTTCGGTTTGCGGTAATAACTTCTGCTCAGTAGATATTTAGTTCTGAAGAATTAGTCCTGCTTATTATCAACTTTCGCTAAAAGTAGTTTTTGTTCTGATTGTTCTGATAAGAACAGTCCTGCTTGAAGTTCTAAAAAGAAGGGGGAAAACAAAAACTACTTTGCGAAAGTTGATAATTTAGCAGGACAAGTTCTTTTTAGTGCTAAATATCTGCTGATCAGCAGTAGTTATTACCACATGTTACAGCAAACCCAAATGATACTATACAATGTGATCAGAGTGCGAGTGAGAATTAAGTGGTTGAGTCTGGCCCGTGGGAGCGGGGAGGATCAGAGGGCTCATGCTAGAAGTAGAAAAATACCTGTTCATAATTCAGGTGCAACAAATTGTTACACCTGTACGATTGTCACAATGTTGTTACTGACAATAGAATAAATTGTCCTCTTTTCCTTTTTAAATTAATAACCATTATCACATTTCTGTGTACATGTATAGACTGCAAGCTATATTGTACATGTAGTCCTCGTTTGGTAATACTGATCATGGAGGTGTTTCCTACCTCCATGTACACTAGTCATCCATGGTAATAGGACACCATGATAAATTCAGCGCCATTATAAACAATCGATTCATTTTTAGTGCAGTATACGTGTCGATCTGGAGTTCATTCCTGCAGAATCTTTTCATAACCTGGCTTTGTTTTTATAAAACAGGAAACTTCTTGTTATCAAGTGCGATTCATTCAACGTGTATCCTTTGAAGCCAAGGGTCACTGCGGCAATTCCTTAAGAATTACTTCAATGTATTTTTATCTTTTACAATAGCAGATACCGGCAGTATGTTTGGCGGGAAGTCCGGACTGGGTACGGAAATCGCTTTCATTTTTGTTTTGTGTTCGGGATGCATACAAAAAATAACCGAGGGTGAAGTCCCTGTGTTAATCCATTTTACATACATGTAATCTTAACTTGTTTGTTCGTGATTGTCTTCATTTTGAAGACACTCTTTTCGGTGAACCAAAAAGAACTGTTTGACAAGCCATGGACTTACCCCCAAAACTCCTGGGTCTTGACCCAGAATAGAGGCTGCATCGATCTATATTTGCCCAGTCCTTTTCCGGGTCAAAAATGACATTTTTCTGGATATTATGATATAGACAAATGTCTGGACAAAAAAAAATCAGTTTCTGTAGACAAATGTTTTTGACCCGGAAATATGAGTGTCATATTGACCCGGAAAAGGACTGGGCAGATATGCAGAATCTGCATCTATATTTGCACAGTCCTTTTCCGGGTCAAAAATGACATTTTTCTGGATATATGATCTAGACAAAATGTCTGGACAAATAATCTAGACAAAGGTTTTTGACCCGGAAAAAAGAGTGTCATATTGACCCGGAAAAGGACTGGGTAGATATGCAGAATTGGGGTCAATCTGAACCAGGAGTTTTACTTAACTCATCGTAACAGCTAAGTTGACTGATGTACTTTCACGAAAATCGTAGCAAAAATCAGTGTGGGATCTACATACAACATATTGTAACCTGTCAAGTTGAACAATCATTATAACCATGCGAATCATCTTACAAAACTGAATGTATATCATGAAAAAAATTTATCAAAATTTTATATTTTCACGATGTATAACATTAATTTAACAAAAAATACCGTCATGACTTTAGGTGTTATGAATTTTTTTTAAACCCCATTTCATTGTAATGTCTCATTTCGTATGTACTGTCAATGGCAGAAATACAAATCGACCTTCCTGTATTTGACATGGCAACAGCTGCAACTAATTCCATATATCCATTTTCATTGGTTCCTTGTTTTTTTCTTACTTTTTTTTAATCCATTAACTGATAACACTATTTGCTTAGCGCTTCAGCTCTACTCATTCACCAAATACTGATTATAATATTTCATGACGGTATAATGCAATCAATAAATATTAACGGAATCTTTCATTTTCGTTTGATTTTTAAACCTACAGAGGTCCATTAGTGGCTTTAAATTTTAAATGAAAAAGATGACAAACGGGAAAACGTAACTTTGTCCCTGCGAGATTTTGCATTTTTCGCTTTCTTTCTTTCTTTCTTTGTTTTTGTATGTATGCTTTGTAATTAAATTAAAAAAAAAAACGAAGAGAATCGTTGTGGTACTCTGTTTAGTTTTAGTGTTTTTGTTGTGTCTTCACTGACGGTATTTTCTAAATAAAACAATTTTGGTCATTTTTTTTCTTATTAAGTCTCAACCCTGAGTTGACTATTTCATACATTATACTTTTTTAATTTCAAGCTGTCGTCACTGTCACGAAAAGACAGGATATATCGAAATTCAGACCTTGAAACTAATCACTCTAATGATTTGAAATTCTTTATCTGTCCGTTTTCAGTTAATGGATTGTTTGCAAGTGTTACCAGAAAAGTGGTGGATCCATTTGAAGAGGAATTCAAAGGTAATTGATGGTCAGTTTCCAGATACACGTATTGCAAAATGCTGGATAATCATTTTGTGTCAGATGTACGTCACAGCTTATTAACATAATTTATGCATAATAACGTGACAGGGTATCGTGCATAATACGCTTGAGTTAGACTTGAGGCGGACAGCATTCTGCCACTGTGGTTATCTTCAACACACGCGGGGGGAGGGGGGGGGCACTTGCCCCCAAGGGCCCCTCTTGCAGACATAAAAGTGCCACCTCGAGCATAAATGTGCCCCCTCGAGGTGAAAACAAAACTGGCCCTAAAATTTCAGATTTGCAAAGTGGTATAGAGAGTTCGGATATGAACGAGGAATATAAAAACCAAGCCCCAGAAGCCTAACATAATGGGTAGTTTGCACAATGGCCTGTTTTGAAGAGCGCCCCCTATTTTGGAAGGTGGTGGTACCAGCCCCCCCCCCCCCCCCCCGAGGCAAAGAGTGTCCGGTGAAAAAAAACCGTGTCGACATTTCAGCACGGTTGTGCCCAAACAAAATGCTGGATACGCTGTTGCACCAACGAAAGATGCTTTTTACTGAGCAAGTGCCCCTTTTTGGTGATGCTCCCGGCCAGTTTAAAAACCGCTCCGCTGTCGCTGTTTATAAAGGTCTGAATAAATCATAAGGTCGGGTTTTTTTAATCCCCGTTCGGTATTTTGCCCATCCAGGTAAAGACCGGATGCCGCCGTCCGTAGAGTCCATGGAGGAAAAGAAGAAATCCCACACGGGGGACGCACTCCTAGATTACTACTTGACGATGTACATTGATGGGAAGGAGATCACGTGGTACAGCGAGGTTAACAACAGGGGCATACTAATGGAAGCTATGAAAGGTAGCATTACTAGATTTCAGAGATTTCGATTTTAAAATAATAATGATTTTATTTTACATTTACAAATGATTGGAAATTTAAAAAGCTACTTTTTTTTCACAGACTACCTTGCTATGATGGTCGAGTCGGACGTACAAGTAAGATGGGATGACGTCACCAAAAAGAAGAATGGCACAGCCGTCATATCTTCAAAGCCTGACACCCCTGCTGACATCACTTTGTCCGATTGGCTCACCATAGTCGCCCGTTACTCCAACAAAGGCGTCAAGTTAAACTATGCCAGCACCCACGCCCTCATGTATGGCATGCCCGTGCTGTCAAATTTGAAAAGTATCCTCCATGCCCCAGTGTGGGTCCACGCGGACATCTTGCCGGGCCCTAACGGTAACACAGCTGTTTCAGTCAACCCCGAGGATTTCATCAAGATGACAACGTCCAGTCTATTACCCAAACTCTCCCTGTCTGTAGGATGGACCACGGCCTGGAACCCTGACCCCGTCCAGCAGAGATACACCTGGCACAACGTCATCGCCATGGCGAGGGCCTGCGCCTTGATCAAGGCACCCGTGTCCTTTTCGGTGAGGGCCGTTTTCGCCTCCAAATCGACGCGCCAGCTGAAGTGGCTACTGAGCCTTGCCAAGCGCTTCACCGTCACGGTGTGGGCCGACAAGTACGACATCATGCCCGTGGCTGAATTGGTCTACTTTCGCCAGATCATGGACCGAAAGAAAGTCTTCTACAACCTCCCATACGCCTTCATGGAGAACTTGAAGGATGTGTCTCCGAACACCAAATCGGTGGGCACAGAAGGCGGTGACAAAGGCCCCACGTGGAACAGGAACCTGTGGGACCCAGTGCTGATCCACGATAACTCCTTAGCCTTCCTCGGCAAGGAACAAGCTGTCTTAGACGGACCAGGATGCTGGTTGGTCTCCAAAGTACCCTACAAACCCGAGATTAAGAAATCAAAAACCGCTGTAGTCAGTGGTAAGGTGCACTTCGTGGACACTGACCTGGCTTCACCGTCGGAGAACTCGGTCCTGGACGTCTACATTCGTAACTCCGGCGTCAACCAACCGCCACCAGACCAAGTCCAAGGGGTCAGGCTCAGAATCCACCAGGATGGTTCCCTGCAACTCGCCCCGGTCAACCTCAACCAGGCCGGCGCATTCAAACTCCAATCCACGGCCAAGCTACCCGCAAGCGACTGTTACGAGTTTCAGCTCGTGGACAAAGGCGACGGGTACCCGCTATATTGCACCGTGAAGCTCTGGCAGTGCACGCCGGGGGAGGAAACGGAAGCAGACCCGCTGGCTACCAGCGTGGCTCTGCACTTGAACGTTGCTTACGAGATGGAGAAGCAGCTATTTTACGTCGCCATCAATGGCGGCAGCGATAAAAATGCGGTGGTGCTTGAGCAACTATCAGTAGATGACAAAGCTTGGACCTAGATCCAACTTCCAAGTTTTATTTGAAGTCATACCCGCGGACGAGCAAATGAAATCTAATTTGAACGGGATGTGAACCTTAGACCAATAGAATGCTGTACCAGTGGTGTATCACTCATGTTATGACCGTATCCGAAAAGGTGTCAAGAGCTATACGGCTACGTCTATTGTCAGCATGTGACCACATCTCTGTAGGTCTAGTTGTCAAAGAGCTGAAGGCATATCCATAGACAAGAGATCACGGACACCACTACGTACCGCCCATCATGCATAGAATGCAGGGCGGGAACGAATATATAACGTCGCGTTAGTGCAACAAGGTCGTAACTCGGATATCTCTCATCTCAAATAACTTCAAGTTTAAGCTTTTGTGGCACCATGCATGTAAATGTTTCATTGATGTGAAACATGCAGAATATGTATTCTGCATATTTCATATCATTTAAAAACTGGACATGGTGCCACATCACGAAAGTTTAAAATTTGAATTATTCGAGATGAGAGAAATCTGAGTTACGACCGTGTGGCACTGTACTGACGCGACGAAAATATCCTTTGACGAATGGCTAAAATAGCCGGATTTTACCATGACCTAGCAACTATTTACTTTTTCCTGATACGGGTGAAATTTCAGTGCGACGTGAACTTCCTGATCAACTTTTGATGGGATGATCGAAATTGATAATGCAATAATTTGTGACGACCCCCAGCTGTATCCGTGTGTTTGATTTGTCGTGCTGATTTTGTACCAACGCAATGTCTGGTTTGATGTGTGTTTGGTTAACGGTCCTTCAATGATGCGCGCAGGCATAAGGACAAATTGGTCATGACGCTAATTCATCACTTCGGGACAGAGGGAATTTGTGTACACCGTTCAAGATTAGCTATACAACATCATCGGTACTTTCAGTTAAGAGAAAAAAAATCACTACTGATTTCAGTTAAGGAAAATGATCATCATGTTTTTGACTGGGGAGTTTCTTGAAGCTACTCCTATACTATTCTACAGGGTGAGTCAAAAAAGCGGAACCCAAACCCCCAAACTATCTTTCATATTTAGAAAAATAGGGCCTATGTGGCACCAAACATAATAATGACTGGAAAGCCAATTTGATAAGCTACTTTAAGATAAAAAAATACTGAAATTGCTCAATCTGTTCAAGGAATATCACCATTTAAACACAATGACCCTAAAACCTCTTTCGTCCAAAATTGCGATTTTAAGAATCAACGTCACAAATGTCTTCAAACATCACAAGCAATAAAAGTTTAAAAGTTAAAAAATATTCAACAAAGTCCTTTTGAAGGCCCGTCTTTAAAAAAAAGGTGGGTTTCATAAATCATATTGTTTGCCTATAACCAGTGTTGTTGATTAAGATATTGTGTACTACAGCTGTTGTAAGTTGTTGAACCAAGCATTCTTGTAGTTTTCTTTTTTGTTCCAGTCAGAATGCGCACTTAACTGCTTTTTGGACGAAACAGGTTTAAGGGTCATTGCATTTAAATGGTGATATTCTTTGAAAGGTTTGAGCAATTTCAGTAATTTTTTCATCGAAAAGTAGCTTTATGAAATTGGCTTTCCAGTCATTATTATGTTTGGTGCTACGTATATTTTTTGATATGAAATATATTATTGGGGGTTCGGGTTCCGCTTTTTTTTGACTCAACCTGTGTGTGTTAATTTTTTTTATATTGATAATTATGCCTCCATTTGCAATGATGGGAATGAGGTGAGTGTACTTGACTGCATGGGCCTCGCCAGGATTTTTTCCGGGGGGGGGGGGGGGGAAGCAAATGTATCCCCCCAATTCCTTAACTTTTTCATTATATTCTCAATTTATCATTTTTCCGAGCGTGAGCAGGGCAGCATTTGCCCTACCCCCCCCCCCCCCATCAAATTAACAGCAATGTGGCTTCGCACCTCTTTTTTATTTCGTTTTCGGGGGGGGGGCACCTTTTGATTGAATTATGAATAAGTGAATGGTTCTCATATCTGCTGTTAGTTTGATTTTACTATACATGTAAGATTTGAAGGTTTGCACGTTTGTACAGAAGCTAACAGATACAGATACAGATTCAGACACAGATAAACATTTACTGTAGCACCGACGGGCAGACGACGACGGGCAGAGCATACTCTCCGAAACGTTGAGTTTATACCCCGGTTCCTTTCAGAATCTCACAAACTCACACAAGTGTGTATTTGCCTGCAATCGGGGACCCCCTTGTCCCTCTTTTGTGTGTACTCTAACTTTTTAGGAAGACCTCCCATATGTTTTGTACACATCGCCAAATTTGGGACCTTCGGGAATTGGAGACCCTATTGTCCTCTATTGTTCAACGTCCCCTATTGAATGCAGAAACAAACTCACAAGAAATTTGTCACATGGCGTTACCGTAAAATGTTTATCTCGTCACTAGTATATACGAGACGGTGTTCTCGGTCTACGTATAAGTGACGCATAAAAGGTAGTAGTATAGGAGGTTCACAATTGTTGAAAAAGTTGAGAAAGTGTTGGGCCATTATACATTGGTTTACTTCAAACGATGGCAACAGCTTCTGAGAAGGTGGTTCGAATGCTCTTCCCATTAAAATTCTTACATCAACACACACACACACCCATGTTTGTTTTACAAAACGCTGTGTGGACATTCCTTTATTCTCCTGTAGTTAAGAAAACTCGGTACAAAAAAATAACTTTACTTAAACTGTGAAAACTCTTTCAACCCAAACGTTTTTCTATGATTCCCTTTGTGTTCTCTTCATTTTGCTACCGATAAACCTAATTTAAAAATGCCTTCAAACCTGTTTTCCAGAGAGGGCGAAACGTTTTGTATTAAGCTAATGTCCGCATGCTCAAAATGACACAAACAATAGAAAAGGACCGTGTTCGTCTCAAAGTCTCCTATGGGTTTCAATTCAATTCAATTCACTTTATTTTCCACATAAAAAAAGACAATCAGAGTTAAATGTATACAAAATATGTGGATGGGTTTGCATGGATGGCGATGGTAAAAAGTACACAAACCCGCGCGGACTCATGGGCTGGTGCCTCTGACGTCGCAACCATTTGTAGCTCAAATCCAGGCAAAACAGTTTCCACTATATCATCATTTCATCGAAGGAATCATGGGTGCCGACTCTGACGTCTCACTGACGTCATGGTCCATCTCGACCGGGTTCTGGTATTCCCGGCATGTGCTGCTCCTGAGATCCATGGGCACCAGCGAAATGTCCGCCTCCGGATTGGTGAAGGCGTCAGGGTTACCAGAGGGGGCACCCCCTTTGTCGGCCACCCGATTGGACTTGGAGTTTTTTGCTCTGACGGACGATGGGGGCGGTCTTTTAGTCGCCGTGGTGGCGAGTCCGAGGTCGATCTCGTCGTCTTCGATGACGCCGCCCGCGACCGTCTCACCGGCGGGCACGAAGACAGTCACGCAAGTCGGATTGCTGATGACCTCCACGGAGTCGATATTGTGCAGCATGACCTTGGGGTTCTCGTGGCGGGGCGCCCTCTTGCAGCCGAACTTGCAGAAGCAGGCTAGGCCGATGGAGAAGAGAAGTAGGACTAACAGGACGATGAGTGGAATGACCCAGTTCCATGGGATGGTGGACCAATCCATCCTGACTCGATTCTCCGATGGTGGTTGGCGGCAGGATTTCCTGCAAATCAAACACAAACATTTTAAAGAATTTAAACCGCTTGGTGGCGCTCAGCAAAAACACTGAGCATGCGCACGACTATTTCGTGGTAACCGACTTTCCTTAGGTATGTAGGGCAATTGTTTCGACAACATTTGAAAATGGCATGCTGCAAAGATCCAAGGAACAAAAGGATCGACCTTTCCTTGTAATTGCAAAGAATTAATTATTGTGTTTCCAAGAACTCTCCTTCTCTTTTTTCTCTTTCTGTGGCTCATACAGCCTTTTGCCATCTATTCATCGTATTGCCTCTGTCATCAGTATATGTTCCCTGTCTCGTGTCTGCTTACCATTGTCATGTTTTTGTTTGTCTGTTTGTTGGTTTTTTGTTTGTTTGTTTGTTCGTCCTGTGTTGTTTCTGTCGGCTGTTTTCCACAAGCTTCTGCTTATTAAAACAGCCCCATTTGCTTCTTTTATTTTGCTGTTAATTTGATATTTACTGCTTTATTGTTTATCCCTTTTCTCTAAAGGCACTTATATATATATTTTTTTCTCTCCATGAAGCATGGAAATAAATGTGAAGTTGAATTGAATTGAATTGAATTAGTTTGTGAATGCTGAAAAAGACCGACAGAAATCTTATCTTGTTGATTTGCAAAATGTTTCTCTCCGAGTGTAAATTTCACTTCTTCTGGTTATTGCCCTACAAAAAGTTAATACCGAAGAGACGACCCAAGCAACTAGGCATCATAGCATGCAGTGGTTCAACGTATGTAAACAGGGTACCAACAAGAAATAGTATGTTGCCCTAACTACAACACCTATTTCACAATCGGTTATTGGCGATGGGAACCAGATCTGTAGTACTAATACCAACACGTCCTCAACCTTCACCCGATCATGGTTACCAGTTTATTACCATGAAGTTAAGTAATTTGAAACGGAAACATGGCGGCCGCTTACAAATGCCCGACAATGACTAACACTCGAGCAGCAAGTTGCTTCAATCCTTCAGGGATTATGAATCACCGTACGTTCTTGCTGCAAGATATCCTGTCAGTCCTTCGTGTGATCTTGTTCGAAAGTTTCCGGGAGTTATTTGGGCAAATGGCGGGGGTTCGCCCACTTCACCGAGCGCGTTTCGTGTATGATCTCCGAAGTATAAACTACAGTCCTCATCATTTCAGGATCCTTACTTTGGAAGTTTGAAAATTCTAAAAACAAATTCGAAAAAACAACATCTAAATGACAAAGAAAATGTTGTTTTGGCAAGTACAGGAACATTTTTTGTCCATGTCATTTTTGTTTCGACATCTGGTCGTTAATTAAACCGCCAAAAAAAATCACATACTTAACATTTCAATGTCATTATTTTGTTCAGATTGATGGGGTGTCAAGGGCAAATATCACTGAAAAATCCATCTGGACGACCCCGACCACAGTGGGGTTAAAAGATTCAAATTGATAAGAAAAGGAATGCGAAAGAGCTGCTCTCTCCAAGAACATTATCGATCTTAATTCTTTCTTCTTTGAGTTTAATGCCTTTCTTGAAGGCCGAGACTGGGACCTGTTTGTATCATTCCTTAGATTTACGCTCCTAACGAAGTCTATAGTTTTCCAACTTGAATATAAAGAATTATGCCCTGCACGTACTTACTCAGATCTGGCGGTCCTGTGGTGGCGTCGTTTAGTCCTTCAAACAGCAAAAGCCGAATTACGAATCACCCTCTTCAAACGACCACTTCCTTCGCTGGTTCAAGTGCTGACATTAATTTCCAACCATTTTGTTTTCTCTTTTTTGTCTACGTCTTTATTCCCTTTTTAGCATTCAGTGGTCGGAGGTCGCGCGTGAAGAGCCGAACACTGCACATGCGCACATGTGCCAAACTTCCTCTGAGGGATGTGAGCTAATTTTCTATAATTTGCTTGCAGGAAACTAGGCATGGGATGTAAATCATATAGTTATCTTAAATGGTCAGAGAGGGGATTATACGGCATGTGTATTAATTTAACGAACGAACGGTTTCGAGAGGGTCTGACGTCAGAGCTCGGAGAATCTGAATTAGAAAAACAACGGATAGTCGACTGTAGAGGGCGCACTGTATCGTCATTGGCCACACGAACGAGATTTCTGCCTAGACTTTGAAGCTTGGTGTGTCTACGAGATACAAAAAAACGGGGAAATTCCCCGGAAAAATAATGTTGTTATCGTAATACCAGACTAGAAAGACGCCCTGTTGTGAAGGGGTGGGGGGGGGGGGGGGGGGGGGCTGGCTGTTACAGTGGAGGGGCGCCCAATTTCATCCGTACACGTGGGGGGGGGGGGGGAGGGGGGACTTGAACATCCATCTTTCAATGGGGGCGCTTTTCAAAACCGAATTCATAGTCAGTGTCACACAATAGGCAACCTCGTCCCCAGTGCTTACTTTATTTCCAACCGCGTTTCCAATAGTAAGCCCTGGATAGGAAACTTTCTTCCTGCATCCTGATTCGCTACCGCAATTTGCTATTAATATATTTATATCGTGTAGTTGGTGTTGTTATTTCCAACGTGCATTACGTGTTTTCAAGATCATTGTAAATAAAACGTCCATGCCTTCTCAATAATACTCCTTTTCTTTCCAGTTTGCTCATATTAATATGAAATGTGATACTGCATTATTGGCGGGCCAGATTGTAACATTTTAACTTCCAAAAAATCGTGTTTTCATAACTCACGTTGTTTGTACCCCCAGACACCGCATACAAAAGCAAACGCAAATTTAACGCACATACGGGCACCAGACTATTCCTCATTTGCATACGTGTTCAAAAATCTTGCACATGCAAATGATCCAATACCAAGGTGAGAGATTAGGTAGTGGTTGGCTCGACACCCTGGGGACGAGGTTGTACAATAGGTATCTCTGAACGCGTTCCACGGGACGTTAAAATAAACGGCCAATCACAAAAAACAGGGTTTTCGCCAACATTTTCATTAACAAGGTGAACAAAGGCACCTAAATATGTTAAACCTGCTAATCATCGTTTTTTATATTTGTTTCTCCAATTGGCAAATTCTAGTGGGGGCGACGATTTTCACCTACGCCGCTGGTCACTATCCCCTCCTCCCCCCTTCCCGGATCCCGGATACAACGATATTGACACGGGAAAAGACAAAGGATCAAGATAGTTTACACTGTTATTTGAACATGATAACATTTCATCATAGAAACTATTGGAAAGGGGCTTAAAAATGTGGCTGCGTAAATACATGGATTACTTCTTATCATTGAATGAGGCACCCAGCACCGTCTGAACCACCTTTTTTTTTGATTGAATTGTTCCACTTATGTGTCGCTGGCCCTGTGCCCACAGGCATGTTAAAAGCCGATGTGGAAACATTATGAAATCCACTGCACGCTGAGCTCTGCTGCTTGCTCCTTCACCGTGAGAATTACATTCACATTGACATTGTAAAGAACTTATGGATATCGTTTGGACTCGTTTTGATGTGGACATATGATCCACAAACGCATCCTGAAAACAATTGCCGTTAAATCGGAGCGTTAATGAGCGTGGATATACATGGATCTATAGTATAAGCAAGAAATAACAAGCATCGAGACATTGAGACTATACAGTTTGAAGTTTGCAAGACTCAGACACAGTAACTGGAAACAAGGAAATGGGGAAATCGGGGGAAACAGGTCAGGGGCGGCAAGCTGCTGTGTTTGTTTTTCTGCAGCAGGCACACACCGTTAATGGATCATGATTATATATTCAACTAGTATGATGTCTATTCGTAAGAAAAATCGTAATGACGTCACATCATTGCTTTATTACTCAGTCATGCATGTGCATTATTAACATTTCAAAGAACGGATTTCATCGAGCTGCCACACTGGCCTAGTGGAATGAATCGCAAGATCTGTATTTCGAACCCATGTCCATCATCGTCGAATATTTTTGTTGGAAGGAATATGTTTAATTGAAGGGAAAACACTACGAGAACCTAGTAAGTGTCTTCCATCCACACAGAGTGATGAATATTCATGCTGGGGTGCGTGATGTGATTGGTTAACATACGATTTACGCTGCAAAAAGAAAATACGCGGCCATGAGCCGCGGCAGGCCGGCTGCGTCTGCTTGCGGCAGTCAACAACCGATCATGGTGGGTACCACTCGACGGACGGGCTTCACGCTCTCGCTGTGCATGGTTTACTTCGTGTTTCTCTGTGGTGCCGTCGTAACTTTCATGGTAAAATTCTTTTCGAAAATTTCTCTACCGATTGCCCTTAGAACACTTATTGCCCCTTAAGCCTCGCATGATTAGCAAAAGACCAAAGCCCATTGCTAGCAAGCAAGCCCGCGGGAACGGGGGGTGCTGTGGGTGCTGCAGCACCCCCAACTTTTTGGATTGGGGTGCTGAAATATGCTTCAGCACCCCCTACTCCCGGGCAAAAATGTGTTTCAGCCAGCAGTGTTCTACGACGTTGAAATTGCGCCGCTGCGCTATACATTATGCTTGCACTACAAATATATCCTTCGTTTTGTTCGTTTCTAGTTTTGCCGCGGCTAAGCGCGGCGCTTCGAACGTCTAGCACTGTAAAATATCAATAATAACACTGTAAAATATCAGGAGGAGGTATTTCTAAATCTTCAGGCAGTGCAGAATCGATATTTCTCTCAATGAATCTAAAATCATGACATGTCTATGATATTTCCGCTGTGATTGAAGCTATGACCCGAAAAAATAACCTCGGCCATGACAATGGTGGCAAAGTTGATTATGCTTACCACGATTTTTTTCATTCGATCTTTCAATAGGGGCAAATTCATACCTTTCCCCTGAATGTTCTCTTTTCATTTGAAAGTTTCAAGGACGTTGCTAGCATTCTGTACTCAACATTAAAAAATAGCAAGGTTCACAGTCCCAACCTAATGGGAGTGGGACGGGCTTCCATTGAAACTAGTTCCAGTGTAGTTTCGTTTTAATAAAAAAAAGCTATTCATGTGTTACCCTGTGCAAGTTTTTTTCTCATAAAAACTCAGTAGACCGATAAATCCTTGCCTAGCCTCAAACTTGCCACATACCGATCATAAACATAAAGATGCATTTGGTCTGTTAGTCTTTTATATTTGCCATTCCCTGTAACAAACAAATAACACTGCAAATATATCAAGAGCTACATCGTTTAGGCCTATGTGAATTTTTTATGAACAGAAATTCATCCGCTTCCGAGTGGAACCATTTGGTTTTAACTTTAACCAAAAAACATCCTTTCGGGTTTTATAAGTTTAAGCATATACTTCAGTATTTTTTCATCACAGTGCATCCAGAATCCAACATTTTCAGGGGCCTTAAAGCAGGCCCCTGGCCCTGTGGCCCCACGCCGTAAGGGCTCGGAAAATAAAACAGAACATACACGACGGAATTTACTAAATGTAAGAAAGCAGCCTAGCAACAATAATATTTACATGCGATGTCATGCATAATGATACAATTCTTTTTCCAGAATTAAATGGAACAACTTGGAGATAAAAATACAGGGTTTTCGACTTTTCAGTACAGTAGAAACGTTATGAGCAACAGTATATTTAAAAAAAAAGTGAAATAAATTGTCTTTATAATCTCAGCAAAACGTTTGCTAACAAAGTCATATGAAAGTGGCCAGGAATCGCCTCAGATTGCACCACAGAGCATCCATATTCCAACACTTTTAGGAGCCCTTTAACTTTAAGCCACGCTGTAAGGGTTTTGCGCTCCGCGTTCGCATTAATTTTGTCCGTCCTTTAGAAATTCCAGCACCCCCTGGCAAAAGTTTGTTCCAGCGGGCTTGCTAGCAAGCCTGGTGCGAAAGGCGTGTGAGGTGTTTTTTACTTAATTTAATTTTTGCAAAATCAGGAACTCTCTTAATAAATGCAGGCATTTTGTTTACTATTAGAAATGTACAAACAGTTCCATGTACTAGATATACAAACATTCGTACACAGCATAGATTTGTTTTGGAGAAAAGGTGGACATTAATTGTTGGTAAAATGGACCGTTTAAAAGAAAACATCAAAAAATCAATGCAGCAATAGCTAGAAATCTAACCCTGCTTCAGGGCAAGGATAATGCCAGTTATATTGAACATTATAACAGTTGACAGTTATTTGGATAAAAGTGGACTGCGAAAAAGTGTTCCCATGTCAAGTTTGGGCGGTGTCTTTCTGCCCTGCCCCTCTCCCCGGCTGCACGGGTCAGACGTAAAATTATAATAATCCTATTTTTGCTGTTTCCTGTGAGCGCTTTTTGGATAACCGTAATTTTTTTTTCGTCTGAACTCGGAGTCAAGTTTTGATTTCGCATTCTTCACAATGACAACCTGAATATTAACGTGATGGCGGTGTTATCTTTTCATTTTTTTTGATCCGTTCATAATTTTATATATTTTATTTTGTTTTCATGTCAATGTCAAGCAGTGGGAGCCGTTTGCCCCGAAAGTGGCCGTCAACTTAACACCCCGTCCGGGCGTCATAAAAGAGGTAATTATGGTTTAACAATTGCTTACATTGTAATGTCTTTGTTTGTCTGTTTGGTGGTTTTTTTGTTTGTTTGTTTGTTTGTTTGTTTGTTCGTCCTGTGTTGTTTCTGTCGGCTGTTTTCCATAAGCTTCTGCTTATTAAAACAGCCCCATGCTCTATTTGCTTCTTTTATTTTGCTGTTAATTTGATATTTACTGCTTTATTGTTTAACCCTTTTCTCTAAAGTTCTCCGATTGGCAAATTTCTAGTGGGGGCGACGATTTTATTTATGGGGGGCGCCCCCACCCCCCACCTACGCCGCCGGTCACTATCCCCTCCCTCCCCTTCCCGGATACAACGATATTGACACGGTAAAAGACAAAGGATCAAGATAGTTTACACTGTTATTTGAACATGATAACAGCTGGAAATTCAAGCCAATGCACTCTGGCGTCAGTTGTCACCCAGTGTTGTAGTACTCGTACTCGTACTCGTACTCGAACTGACGGTACTCGTACTCGGGCAGCAAAGTACTCATACTCGACATGTCGAATTGTATACTCGTTCATCAAAGTACTAGTACTCGAAAAAAAAAAAGGTAAAGCTTGACTTACCACAGCCTTATTTTATCGATACTTTCAGTTTGAAATGGTTGATTGGCTTGCGCAGAAATCGAAGTTTCCCGACGGATTTTCTTCTGCGCACGTCCGGGCAAACACATTTAACAGTTAGCCGTGAGTGGGTCTGTATATCGGTCTGACTGGGCCTGGACCAATTACGCACAATGAACCATTTGCCGTGTTGCCGTATTCGGAAATACAAGTACTCGTACTCGTACTCGGAATACAAGTACTCGTATTCGGAGGTACAAGTACTCGTACTCGGAGACCTGTACTTGTACTCGGATGTACTACAAGTACTCGTACTCGTACTCGTAATCTGTAACCTAAGTACTCGGCAGTACTCGGGAAAAAAGTACTCGACTACAACACTGTTGTCACCTGATGTATCGCCTAAACTATCACACAAAACATTTCATCGATAAAAAGTTCGCCCAAGAATAATGTTTGGATACCAAAATCAATAACTTAAATAACGTAGTTTTATGCCACTCAAAAATGGTAAATTTAGTTGAATAAGTAATCGGCACAAACCATGCAATCAATGGTTGTATTTCTGTTCACTCTTTGCATATCTCTAATAAGAATTGTGTAAATTCTCCTGTGACACTCAGGTAAAAATGCCAAGTTAAAACAAGAGAAGGCTAATGTTATTGTATATTTTTTTCAATGAATGTAATACCAAAAAAATATTAAATTGAAGATCATTAATAAACATGAATACACGTATATTAAAGTACATGTATTGCATGGTTGTAATAATCAAACACTTGAACACTTTGTGCGTTCTTTTTTTTATATCAAAGTGATTTTAAAATGGGTTATACATTTCAATATTAAAACACACAATAATCACAAAAAGTGACTGATATCCCAAGAAGAATTGCATATTATGGAAGGTCAAATAACTGCAATTGGCAGCTGACTTTCCGCCATCAATGGCGGCGATAATAGAACGCCCGTAAGGATAACAAAGGCGGAACCCAAAAATAATATTTATGTCCGAATACAATAACTTAAGGTAGCGGCCGCGCGACCTTCATTCACTTTTTCCCCCTACGACGGCCACAAGTCTGTTGTGCAGCGCAGTTTTTTTTGCTGTGAAAAATCGCTTTCAAATTTCATGCCAAGTGGAGAATGCATCTCTATTCAATAAACAATTGTTCCTATTTTGTGGTGCGTTCAAAGTTCTACTTGACAACAAATTGGACTAAGAAAATTTTATGTCATCGCTGTCCAATTCCCATGCGAGTAGAATAACCATCGAAGCAACATGTTGCAGAAAACTCACGCATGAATTTAAAACTGAAACTAGACCTATCCTTGTGGACAAACACAGGGCTGTTTCGGCTATCATTTTGGTGACATCTGGCATGTACAGTTACAAGTAAAAGTTGCATATCCAGAAGCAAAAATTCTGTAGATATTGCGATGTGTACATTAATATTGAAGGTGGTTGCTACGTGTTTACATTCTCATAGGCCTTCGAATTGTACATGTTCAATGTGACGTTACCTCAATTGTCATCTATAACACCACAGTCTACAGGCCTAGCTATATCTTCCAAGTTACATATTAACCAAACTGGACATAATTATGTAGATATTGGCTTGATACGACTTAAAACTGAATTATTTAAAAAAATGAATTTATTAAGACACAAAAAGTGGAAGGCAACCGAGGAAGAATTGACAACAGAAATCGAAAAAAACTACCAAAAAAGTAGGGATAAAAATTAGTCTTGCGTGGAACCAAAAGAATTATATCAGCACATCATCGGTCTATGCTGCATGTAGTCTGGAGTTCATTGTAGGTACGTGTCAGATTTGTTCGTGCTTTGTGTTCTTGTGTAAGATGTCTCAGTTTCAGAGCTGCCATGTTTATTATTGAGGCCAGTGAATTCAGACCAAGCTAGTGAATTCAGGTTGGTGTAGCGGTACTTTCCTCGCCTTCCACCGCTGTGCCACGGGTTCGAATCCCGCCTGGACCAACATGTTGATTGCTAGTCCTTCCTGATTCGATTCCGTGGGTTTTCCCCAGAATATTCTTCTTCATTTTTTTTCTCACCGACCTTCGGTACTCATTAGGTAAAACTGTAATTTCTTCTCATTGTTTCGTCTGTGTATAGGTTTCTTCAGGCTTGTTAGCTAATTAGGCGCTTTTGACCAATCCTTGGTTTCATTACCCCCCAAAATATAACAATTGTGTAAGGGGAGGAAACATAACATTGCACAAGAATTGAATCTGTATAGTGTCAATCAATACATGACTTGCCGTTAACAATATTAGCGGCGATACCAGGGACGCCTGCCATAACCTTGACTCGTTTTAGGCTCAATCGGCGCAGCCGCCCATGCATAATTCTGAATACAAAAAAAAAAAAATTGCGCTCGAGATCGACTTGCTACAACAAAATTACAAGAATTGTTCGTGTACATTTTCCCATAGTGACCGAGTTGGTCACAGATCGAGTTGGTTACGGACCGAGTTGGTTACGGACCGAGATGATTACGGACAGAGTTGGATACGGAATGAGTCGACTCGGACCGATTTGGTAACGGACCTCCCCCCCCCCCCTTTTTGGGACCACCCTATTCACTCATTCTTCCCTAACCGAATTACTGTAATATTATTGTGTAGGCACGATTCAGTACTAACCAACTTACTTCACTCCGTCCAAGTGCGCACCTCTATTCTGCAAAACTTCACACACTAACACTCATTGATGTTAACAACCTTCAAATAGGAATGTTCATGTTTAAGTACACTTAAAACTTCTTCCTCGCATCTTTTTGACTTTTACACTTCTGTGCAAGACATTCATGAATATAGTGCAGGTTCAAGAAAAAGTCTCCAAGTCCCATACACTCGCACGACTAATCAATCCATGCACACTCTTCACTTCCATGGTCCTCGTCTCTTTCGAACAGCCCAGGCGCAGCCTTGAAAACAAAGTCTGCTGTGGGCCGCTTCAAATCTGCCTACAAACAATGTCTTACATTTTTAACTTTTCTTCTCCATAGTACGTCTTCCCCTTGCGAAAATTAAGGTTCTGTGGTAACTGTTTCATTTATTTAATTTTGTTTTAAAGGTATTCATGCGTTGATTTTTACTGGGTTCGTGTCAGTTATTCTGTTATTATATAGGTTTTCCCGGATATTTTAAAACATTAAATTTCGTCCGAGAAAATTTTTACACACTTTTAGCAAACCAATTTAGTCATTTACCATGCAATCTTAAAGTTTGGTCACCCTCTTTAGTCACCGGGTCGAGAATATTCGTCATTGCAGACCGAATCGTCTAAGCTGTTGCCGAATGGCAGCATTCAGAGATCGAATTCGTCTTATAACAATTTAGTAGACGAATTGGATTTTTGAATTGAAGGTTAGCTTTACTTTACTTTATTTCATCTCAAGGCTAGGCATAAAAGAAAACAGTTTGTACATGACTTAGAAGTTATTATGATTCATATAGCTTTAGAAAATAAATATATATACATATCGTCGATCGTACCACGATCTGACCTATCTCAGTTTTTGCCATTTCGAGAAAAACGCGTTTGAAGTTGGGCCTATTTTGCATCCACTCTTTCACCCAGAACACTAATTTTTATTGACTCAGTTTTATATATAATAAAGTTGGATAGTTGAATTATGATTTTTAATTGTTTTCTAAGGCAAAAACTCATCATTACCAGGTGAAAAACAGGCGTCAAATCCATAAGTCACTTCGTGAAAATTTCATTTTCATATTTCATGCTCGCGAACGGCGACCTATCTAGATAGGTCACTTCGTGAAAATTTAATTTCCATTTTTCATGCGCGCGAACGGCGACCTATCCAGATAGGTCACTTCGTGAAACGAACAATTTCGATTTCTCTGTGGCTGAAAGTGACTTATGTCATATGCGCATGCGCGCGTGCGGACCTCTTCACGTTAAGTCATATGGAGGTTCGCTGCAATCTGTTGTTTTTTATATTAATATTATTGTTATTAGAGATTAATAAGCTCTTACGAATTAAAACGCTATAGTGAAGGAAATTAGAAAATGAATCCCAACATATACGGGGTGCATAGAAACTTGTTGAATACATTGTGTATACCTCCTAGTAATAATTCTTGAACGGATTCATTGTAAAGGTGTACTTTTTTTTCTCTATTGGACAAAACAGGTATTTTGTTCAAACAAGACTCACAAGTTCAAGTTACACTGAAACAGAACGATAAGCGTACATGTACACTCTCATAATCTTCAAATCTTTGTTTTCTATTTGTTATTCTTCAAAGTGTACTTTCTCATTATTTAAACCTATTATTCCCTAAAAACAGCAATTTTCTGCAGATACCTTGTAAGCCTCCCCCTTTAAAAAAAAATCGGCTGCATTTTAATTAACAATGCTC